GCGCACGTTTACTTTTTGTTCTAAGGCTGCACCCGAACAAACTGTCCGAAACGAACAGCGTCTTTCGCAAGTGTTGAAGAATACTTTCAATAAGCGGCGACTGACATGTCGCAGCGTTAATTCACGAAAGGACATCGAAAGTGAAGCTTCAATTACACTGGACAGGTAGGGAGCAGGAGCGAAGACAGCAAACAAAGCAAACGAGGCGAGTGGAGCAAATCTCGTTTACACTGCAAGTGGTGCCATGAGTTCCAATTTCACACTTTTACCAATTGATAGCATTTTAAAAAATCGATACATACTGCAGTTGGCACGTTACAGTTTTCCTTTCTGTCTACAGTGAAATGTAAACTTATCGAAATTTAATTATATACCAGCTGTTAATAAATGATGGACACGGTTCTATTGATATAGGAAAAGTATGATGTACAGGGGCAAGACACTATGGGCCGATTGCAGAGATCGGATAGACCGCGGTTCAGAATAATTTCATTGCAGAGACAGGGTTTCTCGCTTTCCACAGTTTAGACATTGATTAGAAACAAGTTATTTGACCTACTTTGTAGAGTCCCTTGATAGCAGGTTTAGACACCATTTTGCTTGAGTAGAAGTTGCCATATTCATTTGTTGGTCTCAAATGTATGTTATAATAGATACTGTTCATTTAATAAATATTCTAAACGGGACGAATCAAGGAAATTATTCATACAATAACGAAGAGAGAGAGAGAGGGGGGGGTAATACGAGATCGGAATAATCTTTTAAAAATCTACTGTATTCCGAAAACGAATTTTAAATACGGTATAAATTTCTATATCTGGATTCATTCGTATTTTAAATCGTATTGGTGACGAAATTAAGCGTTTAGATGGAAGAGGATTGCCATTAACTTCCGAACAAGAGTTGTTGACGGCATTACAATTTTATGTCATTAGAAGCTTCCAGAGGGCCGATGATCTTATCGGAGTTCACGTCTGTGCATGCAGGTAACTATCAGACTACCATTAAATAAATTTTAAAACTTTCTTGTATAGTGATAGAGACGTTTATAATATGAATAAGAACTTGTTTAACGAATAAGAATAAGGTCTTGCTGCGAGCAGACCGAAAAGGAAACGGCGAAAAAAATTCGTTTTGTATTATCACTCATGCTGTTTTTTTCATGCCCAGAATACGATTGTTGTAACATTTCTCCTCAACTGCAGATTCGTTTAGACGGCGTTCAGAAATAAATGATCATCGTCTTTGCAACGCATTTTAAACCGCAGTTCAGGCAGCTAACGTCTAGACGCAGTTCGGTTGTTAAACGACATTTAGCATAACGCAGCCTTTGCAATCAGATGATAGAGTTTGGTTATTTTAGCCCAACATCGTCACTTTTATCGCGATATGAGATGATATGAAATTGGTTAAATTGAAAATCAATTAAAAATATGATATTTAAAATTTTTTAAATACCAAATTTTTCCTAACGTCAAGTCTAAGAAATGCTATAATTTACAGCCGAATATCAAAAGGTAATCTGCCAACTAATCAAATTTCGCGAAAAACAAACCAAATATTTAAACTTGGCACTCTTGAAAACCGCTTAAAGCAGGCAGATTTTGCGGTAGCTGGTAACATCGTTTTATGTAATTTTCTAACTCGAATGCTACCATGCCACTCTGTACGATAAGAGGAGAATTGAAGTAATTCAATCAAAAGTAGTTCCATTGACCTCTTCCCGGAAGAGAGGATACTCAACCACTACTAATTAATAGTGATCTATATTAAAATTTGGAAAGTAATCAGAGCTAGACAGGTTGTGATGGCCTTGCATGTGATCAAAGTTGCTAACCTTAACGTCCGAAAGACTTTATATAAAAGTTGTTTAAATATATAAAAAAATGTTAAAATGCGATAATAATTGCTTTTATGTGACAATAAAGTATTTATAATTTTGCAACAGATTGTACAAACTGTGTTCTAGTAAATATCGCGTTTATAGAAAAATTATTAGACTGAAATTTGAAAAAAAAAAAAAAACTGTAGACCTATAAATTTGCGAGCGCAAAATGCTAGCAAAGGTGTGCTAGCACACCCGATGACATGAAAGGCCCGCACCTTTCTTCGTGCTCGCGCTGTTATCCCTTTGCTAGCGCAGTTATACAAACGTACGCTCGCTGTTGACAGAATTTAACAGACAGAGCAATCACCCTATGAACAGAGAGCAAAGTATGTGCAATGTCATTTTACAGCCAAGAACCGAACAATGCGCGTGATAGTTTTAAACCAGTTAGGGACTTTGTGTTATTTTGTTTTAACATAATTTCATAATTTCTAAGAAAACTAAACAAATAATAATTAATCCAGTAAACGAATTAATCCAGTAAACAGATCTCATGCATCAACAGTAAGCCATAAATTTAAGTACCGGCTTGGTGGCAACATTAGTCGCTTACCTTTCATAGTGCAGCACTTTTACGCGAGCAAATGCTGTTTCTAGGTAAGTTAGGCTGCTTCATGCACACCTAGCTTACCTAGCAAAAATCGCTCGTAGCTTCGGGGAAAAGTAGGCGAAACTTTGGAGCGCAACCGAGCATATACTAGCTCCCTCTTCCTGAAGTTTGCGGGGGCTGTAAAAATTACTGCGACGGATATATTATAAATCCAGACGAAGATAGGTGTAAGAAACCAGTAATTTATATTGATATTGATTTATTTTAAGATAGATGGTATTTGTTTATATAAATCAATATACAGATAAACAAGCCACTGAAGCAATCGTTGACGTCATCGTAATAACGAATTATTTCAGTTAGTGTTTTAGTCTGATAAAGTTAAAGGCCTTCTTGTTTAAATATTTTGGAATTCTCATGCATCAACAGTAAGCCTTATAATTTGTTAGACGTAGAGAATTAAGAAACAAATTAATTATATAAAGGAAATAAAATGAAAGTATTATAGAACTTGGTGTCACTTTAAGTTCTATAATACTTTACAGTGAAGCTCAACCACACGTGTATCATAAAGTGCCAAATTTTTCAAGACCAATGAACCGATTTAAATGAAATGTAAAATATTTTGTGTACACGAAGAGCACTGTGGAAGTCTTTAATTTTGAATAAAATCTTTGGGTCACTTTGAACTTACTTATAAAATAATATCTCATATTACTTTTCCGGCTGTTATGGATACATTACAAAAGAAATTACAGTGGTGCCTCGTATAACGTACGCCTCGAATAACGGACGCTGCGAACAACGGACTTTCCGTTCGGCAGTTACATGAGGCGAACAACTGCGAATGATGTTTCCACTCTTTTGCCGTTGCCAATGACAATCTGCTATTTTTATAATATATTAATATTATTAGAATATATTATTAGTATATCTGAAGTACAGAGCTCCCGTTGGGATTCGGCTTGCTCCCTTGTTTATTACGTACATCATCTCAGTGCAGGATATTTACATTTATTAAAGTGTTGTGCAAATCATGACTTCTAAAAAAACAGAAAGATGATTTCAATTGAAACAAAGCAAGAAATCATCAGAAGGAGTGAAAGTTGACAAAAACTTCCTTGTCAAATGGGGAGAGGTTCAGGAGTTTACCAACACTTATTATCCAAACAGAGCTGAGGCCAACAGGATCTCTACAATGACACCCTTGCCCGTGATTTCCGACAAATGTTGAAGAAGAGAGAGAAACAGACTGCCTTGGATATGTTTTTCAAGAAGCCGGCTGCCAAAAGAAGAAGGACCGTGGAGTTGACCCTGCAAGTTCCGGTAGCCTCTCCTGAATCTGACTCCGATTAAAAGACGATAAAAGAGACCTGCTGCAATGTGTAAAAAGTCTGTATCTGTATGAATGTGTGAAGAAAGTGTTCCTCCACCTCCTCCTCACAACATTTGACTATCCGGCATAATTGGTGACTGCTCCATTTTCATTTTTTTATGGTACAGTGCGGTTATTTTATGCTGCGGAACGAATTATGTTTTAACATGTATTTCTATGGGAAAATGAGTTTCGTATAACGGACTTTTCACTTAACGGACGTGCACCTGGAACGGATTAAGTACGTTATACGAGGCACCACTGTATTGGAATCGTATAAATTTGATCCTCCACGTTTCGAGATCTTTTGCGTACACTGCATAAATATAAGTAAATGTTTGTGTTTCTCCGATTTTAACTGTTTGCCTGATCTTCGTCAAATTTTTCATACTTGTTCTGTGGGATACAGATAAAAAATCTGAAGGCTATCACATGACTGTTAGATGAATATAGAATTATCATAAAAACTATTTTATTATGTAGCTATTCCTAAATGAAAATTACTCATAATGGGATAAAAATCTGGAGAAAACAAGTTTAAATGTAATGCTCAGCAAAAATATTTAGATAAAGAAAACATTTGAAAGCTGTAGCATAAGAACACTAAAATAAGATTTGACAGTAAGACACATTGTGTGAATAAAGTGCACATTACACAGACTACAACTACGAAAAGTTTTGGAAGAAGCAGTCAGCATTATAATAAATCGGAAAAATTAGCATCGTCAAAGACTTCAAACATTACTTTGTGCCTTAAAGTCGTTGCACTACAGTAATTTGGTTGAATGTTACACATTTAAGTAGTATCAGAGATGAAAGTATGAGGCACAAAATTAAACTGTAGTCTGTGTAATGTGTACCTTATTCACATGTTCAGTCTTTCTGTAAAATTTGCTTCAACTATTCTATTCTAGAAGACCGTTCAATTTTTATTTAATGTGGTCAAAAAGACACTATAATGTAAGTAGTCAACAGGCTCCAATTTTAAAACTCTTTTATCGCTGTTTATAAAATAGAGCACTATAATTTTATAAATTATTTTATTACATAAAATAATTTATGAAATTTATTCAGAAACTATAATCTTAAACAGTTTCTTTTGTTTAGCACTTTACATTTAAGAAGAAATAAGTTTAAATCGGTTCTTTCCAATTTTCATGGCAACAAATAGACACAATACGTCAATCTGACAGAACAATTGAAAAGTTTCACATTATTGTAGTGCATTCTTGGTTTTTCATCTTTTCAAAATTCATAAAGTGAATTTAAGATTTGGATTGTTAATTCCATAAATGCAACCAGAAAAAGTAAGTGAAACGTATAATCTGTTTTGTAAGACATTAAGACATGTTTATATTCGAGGACCCATTTCATTAAAAATTGTAAAAAAATGCAATATTTGAAATTTTAAGTCATATCGAAAATTTATATATACGTAGTATTTTTCTGATTTGTTTTGATATAAAGAGAAAATATTCCTAATAAACATTAATCAAAATCTTAATAAAACTGTATATAATAATTTACAAATTAAATGTGTTTTAAAGGATGAAAAAAAGGAACATCAATGTGCTGTATGTAAAATGCAATTTCATACAAAAAAGAACTTAGATAGACATCTGAGAACTCATACTGGTGAGAAACCGCATGAATGCGATATTTGCAAAAGAAAATTCTCCCAGTCTGGAAATTTACTAAGTCACAAAAGAATACATTCGGATGAAAGACCATTCATATGTAACTACACAGACTGTGGATACACTGCGAAAAGGAAAGATACTTTGATAACTCATGTCAAGCTAGCACATAAAGAAGCAATCGTTTCTGAAGTTATTATTGTAAGAATCATGTTCATAAAATGAAATACAGTATATCAAATTTATTAACTTAAAATATAAAATATAATAATATCGTGAATTATATAATTGATTTAATTATTATAAATAAAAACTGGTAATTTACAATGAAATATAAGAAAATATACGTGTTACTTCTGATTGGTAAAAATCGTAATTATTAATTATTAAATAACTTCTTTTTCAGTATTTACAATATACAATAAAATGTCACTTCAGTTTTAAAATACTAATATATCATAGATTTTTCAGATGTGTAATAAATAGCTAATGTAACTTATAAATTATATGATACTTAGACTCCACCAAAAAAACCAAAGAAAGCAAAGGAAGTTCATAAATGTCATAAATGCGATAAAAGTTTTGAATGGTTATCTACTTTGACATTGCATCTGACATCTCATGAAAAAAAACGACCATGTTCATGTGACATTTGTAAGAAAACGTTCAAACATAAATATCAGTTAAATAGACACATGAAGAAAGTACATCCACAGGAAGAAACCGCATCTTCTTCCAAAGTACGTAAAGAAATGTTCTGAAATGAATCTTTTAAAAATTACTTGAATATTGTAATGTATGAAAAATTATTTGGCTTGTATAAACTTTCTAAATTGCAACTCAGATTTTTCTAGATAACTTTATTACGTGATTACTATAAATAATTTTATTCTGTAACTTTCATTCATTAAATAACACAGCATTGTTTCATGTAGTCAAGTATTTACAGAGAACAAAAACTGATGATTTCAAATTTGTACTTTCAGTCATTCGATACGTAACAACCGTTAGCCCTTAAATACCTTTGTGATTCGGTAATTCCAAAATAATACTATTTAAGTTTATAATTTAAAACCTAAAAATTTACTACAGTGGGTGTTCGATTAACGAACACAATCCGTTCGAAGACTTTGTTCGCTATCCGAATTGTTCGTTAATTGATTATCAATTTACCATAGGTTTGTATGGGAATTTAATTAATTCGTTCCGGAGACCCCAAAAAATAAATATATATATACTTTCTTACCATGTTCATTTATATGTAATAATAAATATACATATATACACACACTTGCATTTTTATTAGTAATGTTTTTTTGTTTGTGGGGGTTAAATAATCTGTCTAATGTCGATTGCTTTTCTCTCTTCTTCAGGATTTTCAGAATTAATAGTATTGTAATTGTAGAGATTCCCAAGCCTATTAACCTCAACCTGGTTTATATGCCATTCTAAGACCGTTGATCTGACATCTCCCACTTCTTCAAAAGATCTTTAATTAATAGCAGATATCGGCATTAATCCTCTTTTTCATAATAAAACATATCTCTCCGAGTTTCTTGGTGTTCTTCATTCAAGAGTTCTAGGCGTTCTTCTGTCGTCAGATCAGTTTCAGGTTCCATTATGAGCTCTGCAATGTTCGTTATTTCTCAGATGTGATATTGTTACTCTTTTAGCTGCTTGAATTTTCTTAATTATACTGTATCTTTCTTAGATAAGATTGAACTGCGCCCTACTGTAGATTTGTTCAAGCCATACTGCCCAGCAATATCAGACATCTTCTGCCCACTCTCTATCTTTGCTATTATATTCTCACCTTTCGAAAATTAAAACCGACGCAAAACTTAATGAGTGTCCGCCCGACAGTCTCACGAATACTATAAAAGAATTGTTTGTCAGAAAAATAGAAGACTGGAATTACAAGGGAGTATTTCAAAGTTCGAGGAATACTATCTGATCAGTATATATCGGGTTGAGCGTCGACGTTCACGTCTCCCGCTCTCCAAAAAGTTACCTGAAGACAAAGGAAAATCAATCGGTATTTGCTATTTTCGTCGCTTCTTTTTATGTTTGATCAGTGAAGTGTTCGTTATCCGGTCGTGTGTGTGTTCGTTGTCCGATCATAAAAATCTGTCGCGAAAGTGTTCGTTAACAGATCTGTTCGTTAACCGATCACCCTGTGTACGAGTATAACTAATGGAATATCTAATGATTTTATCTTAGTATTTTCATTATCTATATTTTGTTTCTAAAATGCCAGTAAGCTCTATTGGGTGTTCCTACCAGGAGCTTGTGCTGTAGCCTGTATTGCTTGATGGTTCAGGAAAATTACTGGGCACTCCCACCACGACCAGGTGGTAACCACGGGAGAGTTATTATTACTATTATTATTATTATCATTATGCCTTTGATAAAAGATATAAAGTAATTTAAAACGAGATAAATAAAATGTTATTATATAATAGAATTTTTGATTTTTTAAGCAATGTACAGAAGATACATCGAAAAACATTCATTCGTCGGAAGAAGTAAAGGTGAAGCCAAATTTGCAATCTTCTACTCAAACTTTGCCTCATGAAACAACAGTGGATCAAAATGTATTAAGTGCTGCCGAAATTCTTCTCCAAATGAGAAGTAGAAGATTGGAGGCAGAGGAAGAAAATACTTCGGATTTTGAAAACCATCAACTTCAAAACAATTAAAGAACATTGAATAACGAAGATTACTTCATTTAATTTAAAAAAAAAATTTATCAGAGTCAAATTGAAAAATTTGTTGCTTTGGAAGTGAACGAAACAATTTCTTCAAAATTTAACATTTAAGATAAATTTTAAATTTGTAGAATATTTGATAATTATTCGAACTAAATAACATTAAGTAAAGCAGCAATTTGATTTTTAAGAAAACATTATTAAACATTGAGCTAATTATTGCTTCGAAAATAATAAAGCAATAGTAACGTTTGTTTCCTAAAAAGAATTAAAATTGCATGTGAAGCCACCAGTTATAAGATTCCATTAAAAAATTTTTATATTACTAATTAATATATACAGTCGAATCCCCTATAAGACGGTAGATACGTTCCGTTCTTTATGAATCGATTTATTATGAATCCATTTCTTACGAGTCCTTGCCAATCACAGCCCGACATGTGTAAAGTTTACGGACTACGGCTGTTTGAAAGGTTTTCATCCATAAAATTAATCGATTCTAGACTAATCCGACTCAACATTTCCAAAATACGTATATTTTTTGGGGGAATAATCCGTATAAACTACGCTATAAACAAAAAATTGTAGGATTACTTACCAAGTGTGCACCATTCAACATCGCCATTGCTCAAGCTTGTTTTCGTCGCGGAGCGGCACACCAAACCGCGGCCGATTTCTGATAACTTATTTTTCTGCGAAAACTTCTTTGAACTTTGGAGACATCATTAATATAAATAATTTTTATGGCCGTTGAATAAGAAATGTTTCTTTCACATTTCTTTCACAAGAAATGTATGTGCTGTATTAGACTTACGGTACCTAATTTACATACTGTACAGACGATAGTAAACTCAACTTACTCGCCTAAACTCTCCGTAGCGTGGCGCTGGACGGAGGAAAGTATATATATAATTATAATAAAGTTACAATAAATTAAGTTAATATATAATTATATATACAGTACCTAATTTATATATAATTAATATATAATTATATGTACAGTACCTAATTTATATATAATACTGTACAGACGATAGTAATCTGTCCCTGTAGCGTGGCGCTGGACGGAGGAAAGTAGTTCGGCTGCCCGATGACATTTTACGTAATTATAGGAGTTTTTTTACCGTTTTTTACGGTTATTGTCGAAATTTTTTCGCCGTCTTATACGAATCGTAATTATAGGAACCCGTCTTATAGGGGGTCTACTGTGATGGCAAAAAGCTTAATTTTGATGATAGAGTTTTATAAGAAAAAAACATTGTAAATGCTAACGACCAATAAAATACTCGTTAATTAAGTCGGACCAACTCGAAATACGATACATGACACGTCATCTTCTATCTTTTCACCCCATCCACATTTAATCACGAAAGCTTAATAGCATTGATCTTCCAATACACAATCTTCTTTATCAAATTTCAGAAATTTTCGACAAAATACACAGAATTTATTAAACTTCAAAATGGGTAACCAGAATCGTTCCCTCTACAAATGCACACAAAATACATACATACAAAAAAATCTCTTCATCTGTTTTTACGTTTCTCGTCGTAAGAAGATCCCCAGAGTACAGAAATGTAAAAATATTCAGTAATCGTTTTATGACCGATTGTCATACTTTCCTTCTGTCATGTATAAGAGCTGGTAAAATAACAAACGATAATTGATATCTTTATTATAAATATAAGAATTGAATTTACATAGTTAACACACCTAACTACATGTTTGAGAAAACCTCGACATATGTTAAATTACAATGTAGCTCAGTGTAATAGAAGAGCTGCTTGTCTCAACATCAGCAGCGTATTCTGCATCGCTTTACATAATATCATGTCATTTTTGCCAGAGGTAATCAGTGGCTGGGGGGAACAAGAGCCTTCCCAGATAACAAAGCCGAATGTGATGCATTCCCACAGTTTCTACTTTGAGAAAATCGTACTTAAACCGTACTTTGAGGAAATTGTGCCTGATGTTGATGCTATCCTGTCGATAAGTACCGGAGCCTGTCGCACATGGGATGGGTTTGGATCACAGCGGGCGTGTCTGGCAGGTTCTGCAAGAACATCAACTATATCATTACCACCTCGAGAAGGTACAAAACATGTAATTAATCTAGCAGGTTGTCCGTGATACTCTCATGCTATGCATTCTCATGAATTCCAAGAAAAATTCGTTATCAGTGTCTGATCATGCTGGTCGTCTGATTGGCCCATACAGTTTTCCGAGAAGTATGATCAGCATTTATACCAATCAGTGGCGTGCCGTCATTGGAAGCGGTGGAAGCGCCACTTCCCTTGCATTTTCTAAAAAATAAATACATATTAATTTTCATTATATGAAAATAATCGCACAATATTTTATTAGAACCGCATTATATATCTTATTAAAACTTTCTATACTACAAGTGAAAAAAATGATAAGATTGCTATTGTATATTCGAATATTAGTGGCGGAGTGGAAGCGCTGTATTGTCAACTTCCAAACAGCCAGATTTGCACTTGTGCTTTACAGAGCACGAACATCACCCGGTTTAGCCGGTGGAAGCCAAGGACTTTGGATGGACGGTACATACGAATAACGCTTACAATTCTATCCAGGACCAGTCCTGGGGATCTATTCTGAGTAGTATCGTTAAGCCAGCGAATACAATAAAAACCAGTTTCTATCGGAACCACGTAATTCGCGTTTAATCAACTGTGAAAATGCTATTCCGAGCCGTACGTTTCGTTTTCGGTTCCGATAGCCACGGGCGATAACTAAGCTTATGTTATCGATCACTCTCGAGCTGCCGTTAGGAACATAACGAAAGTGAAAACAACATGGCGTTTTTTGGTGTAAGAATGATTTACTTCACAAGCAATTGGAGAGAGAGTTAATAAACTATGTTGTTGTATTGCTTAAAAATAATAACCTTAACTATTTATGAGTATTGTATGAATAATGTAATTGCTTTCTTGTTAAAATTTAAAGTAAGTAGTTATAGCATGAACATTATTTCTGAAATAGGTTTCATTCGCATATGTATAAATTAAAATGATAACTTTGAATATAAATATATAAATATATGACTATCAGTTACTTTTCGCCATCATTCTGGATTTTTTGTGAGCCGACTTCATCGGAATTCAGACAGTCGGCTATTTCTTGCCACAATTTCTGGTGAATTTTTACGGTAAGGGAAGCATCTAACTTCCCTGACATTAATTTAGGGTTATCTTCCATAAAATTAACGAGCATCTCGAACTGGCGACTTGTAGTTCGCTGGTTTCGTTGTCCTTTTTTCAACATTTTAAAACAAAACTATTTCACTAGCGCTGATACAGAACAATGCTAAAACCACGTGCTTCGCTTAGAAAATGCGGTCAAGTGACAAAAATACAATGTTAACTAAACGATGATTAGTTAAAGCGTAATAGCTATCGATAGCGTGGAACCCAGACGCATCCTGACCGATTACCCGTAGCGAAACTCACTTAACGTGGAGCATAGAATAGCGATTTGTCTAAGGTTCGTTAACTGCCTTTCGCTAAGGGGACTTATCGAATGTCCCGTGTATCGCTCTCGTTGAGTTATCGGAAGAGCTCAGAATATGTCCCCTGGGCTGTTAGCCGCCTGCCCGCTAGATATTTGGCCGCCCTCGCCCGATTACGCGAATCGCGAGTAAATAATCGAGTACAAAGTAACCGGTTTCCACTTAATTCTACTTAAGTAATAATACTTTAGTTAAATAATTAAGCGATTAGGGAATTGGGAATAAAACCTTGCTGAAAGAGCCGGAATTTTACTCACTTAAACAAAAGCTTAATCGAGTACAGTGCGAACTGATTTCTTTGTAATATTAGATGTAATAAAGATAGAAATTTTTCCAGTTCAATGAAAGTGACTAAAAGTTGTAAATTTTGGAAATTTTCGTGGATACCTGGTCTTAAAACGAATTAGTTAGAAAAGAAATGACTTTTAAGTTTAACAAATTTAGATTTTTAGAGCTACGATGAGAAACGTTTAAAATTTACAACAACCCTGTCGCGTCTTTTGAGATATACTAGCGATGCGACAAAAGAGGCATTTGACATTAACCGGTATCGGCACCTTTGGGATTTGGCATGCATGCACGCACTGCACACCTACCAAGACTGTCTCTGATTCCATTCACGAGCCACTCACTGGTAGGAAACGATTTTAACTAAGTGGATTGTTTTAATATTTAAAAGGTAATAAATACTTTGTTATTTTTATGTTCGTTTATTCACAAAACTATATTTAATTATAACTTTCTTTAAAAGTATATTTATACAATTGAATATTTTGTACCAGGTATGTATAATTGTATATTCATTAAACATTTTATTTTAACAAGTAAGTTTTTATAATTTTATTTTAAATTTTAGTTCTTATATTATGGGTAGCGATTTAAAACGTAATTGTGATAATAAAAATTTATTTTAAAAAGTTTTGGCTCGAGGCCATATAATGAAAAAGAAAACATTATTAAAAAATAAAGACCAATGCCTAAATTAAATATAAATACGTCAACTAAAAAATTTGTTCGACATTTTCACGATAAAATTTATGAACACATAAAATGGCTTTGTGGATGCATAGAAATGCAAAAATTGTTTCGTCGTCCTTGCCTATTATTTACAAATGAAATTAGTGTGTGGATTATGAATGGCTTTGACTATTTAAATAATTTGAGTAAAGCTGGCAAAAGACACGAAAATCGTAAATCTCCATCGATTCCTTCATAAAATTGAAGCAATTTGGAAACCAAAATAGAATAGAATTTAACATTAGTACACGATACAAAATGAATATTGAAAATTATAACAAGATAGTTACGGCTAATAGATATATTATATTAAAATTAGTAGATGCTATCGAAGCCAGAATTGGCATTTAGAGGTCATAGGGAATTCATTGAATCTAATATAATAGAGGTAATTATATTGAACTTGCTTATTTATTAAGTGCGTTAGATAATCTATTCATTAAAAATACATTTAGAGAAGTCTACGGTTTTTACTGGCTTATCGAACAAAAGAATACGAATTGACCCTAGACCATCGCTGACTGATTGCCCCTGGAAGAGGCGTGTTACAGAAACACAGCTTCCCTATCATCAAATGTCACGGCACGCCACTGGTATGGAATTATTTTATTTTCTTTAATCAGCGATCGCGAATATATCATTAATATGTTAATATTCGATATGATATATTTATCATAATACAAACATTGGTGAATACCTGCATTTGAATTAATTTTACTAGTGAATGTATTTTCAAAAATAATAATTCATTTTAAGTTAGATATTGCGGTAAATCCTAATTGAAATTGATGACACTTCAGAGACTTGTATTATACTGTAAATTACTATTATACTGTACTATTAGTAAATTACTATTATACTGTACTTATTCTATTATACTGTAAATTAAATTATGTAAATTACTGTATTTTCATACCAAGTATTATATTTCATGTTATACCTAACATGAAATATAAAAGTAGAAAATCTCGTTCAATAATAAAAATAGAGAATTTCAAATAAGAATTGTGTTATATCTTGCCGGTGTCTTTTTCTGTGTCACCGATTTTTATTCTTGTCAATAGCTATACAGTATGTACAATAATATTAATTCTTCAGACAACAAAAAAGTCTTTCAATCAATTGTATAATAGAAATCGGATGTTAGTGACGGTGAATAGAAATGAAATAAGATTTTCAAAATATTGGGTAAATAAAATGTTTTTATTTTGCTTCTGGTTACCGAAGAGTTACGTAACAGGAGAGTTCTTTCGTCGTTTTAAATTTGTAAATCATATTTCACAAAGTGTTTTTCACTTTCGACGTCATTTGCTCTAATGTAAAATTTGTCAATTTTCAGTAGCAGATCTGAGCTTCAAAAGACCAGAAAATATAGAATGAAGAGCGTTGCCCATCTGAAATTAAATCAAATTAGGTATATATACATAAATTTATTTTCAAAAGTTAAAAAAATACCTTAACTGGAAACTTTTTTGTAACATTGAAGTAGCCTCTCATTGATATACATAATGACACTTTTCCAAATCTTTTCATAAAGTTTAGAATCTGAAAGAATAAGATGCAATTCGATATTATGTGTTATAATAAATGAAAGATCATCTAAAACTCACTTTCAGTTTCTGTTCAAGCGACAAATCGCATGCAGAAAACCTTCGGATATCTTGAAACGACGTTTGCATCTGAAAAACACCAAAAATTATTAAACGTATTAAAAGCAACTGATCGGTAACTTTGAAAGAAAAATGATAAAATACCGTAGACGTTAATGTTGAACCTTCGTAACCCATTATAAGACATACGATTGAAAGTAAAATGACAAACAGGAAAATGATGAATCTTATTATAGTGTTTAATTCTGCGAAGATAAATATATAATATGCGAGACTGGTTTCTAATAGAACTGTGAAATAAAATATAACCGGTAATAAACTAAACTTTGTGTTGATCTGATTGAGAAAGTTCCAAAGTTCGGCATGTTGCATCATTATCTCTTCTAATTTTAAACTTAAATTCGAATTGTTCTTACTAAGCAGAATTAAATCATTCGATACTCTTTGAAACGATTTCTTCATAATCATGTATGAAAATAAAAAAAAGAATGAAAAATGAATTACTCCTCCAATAATAAAATTGACCGAAATACCAAGTTCAACGCTACAGAAGAGAATGATAAAATCATTTTCGTTAATTGTATCTAATGTTGGATATGTGACATACATATTGAAAATTGGCAGTGCACAAGTGAAAGAAAGCAGGATTATGCGCATGATGACACTAATTTTGCGAATAGATTTGTTTAAATCTTCAATTGGCAGATTATCTGATTTCATTAATATGATTATCGGAGTTAGTTTTTTGCGTTTAACAACAGAAAAAGCGAGCGACATAGCCAAATATACTATTGTAAAGGTGATCCTGATGAAAATATTATAATCCATTACTGAATACCAGCCAAAGCAAGGTGTGTTTTCTGCTACAGAAGGTATTGTCATAAGAAATAGTAAGAAAAAGAATTGCCAATTTACAAACTCCACAAAGCATAAGAACTTCTGCAGTAATTTATGTTTATAATGAAACTGTCGACAATAGTGGCATGGAGTGAAAAAGTTTAATCCGTAAATTAGTGCAGTGGACATGTGAGGCTGTAACAGACAACTAACACATATTTCGTATCTACGAATCTCAGCCATGGGTAAATTTCCGAACTAGAAACAGATCTACGGATTTACCTGAAATGGAAAAGCACAGTGAATTGATAATGGACTGTATTAAGTGGAACTGCTAGAAAGTATTATTAGTTTGTTATTTCGTTTATTTTAGTTGTTTATTCAATAGTGGTTACTTATAACTTCCTGCATTGATATAGATAATAAAGTAGACATTAAGTTTGGAGCAATGGGAAAGCTACAGACCGCTTGCTAAACATTCGTTTCTGTTAGTTACAGGAATATAGTGGCAGCATTAGCGTGTTGGTGAATCGATAAGAATGCAGCAATTTGAGGAAAAGTAAACTACATAAAATGCGCTTTAGCCACTTTAGTGCACTTAGATAATTGAGTTCTATGGATTTTCCATGATATACTGAAATATTTTAAAAGCATCGTAATAAATATCATTATATAACAGAAACCTTACTCATTTCTATTACATTAATTGAATATTATATTGCAATTTTGTAATGCAAACGTCCAGAATATATTTCTAAAGCATTTCAGTTTTATTTTGAGATTTAAGAGCATAAAGCTTATGTTTACTTATTTTTCGTCATTCTAACCTTGGACTTCAATGCATTTGTTGAGCCTGGAAACAAGTTTCTCGACGCTTAAGTCATAGAAATCACCGCCTGCTTTCGTAATCACGTCGACACCGTATCTTGAACTTCGTGGATGTCATCAAAGTACTTTCAATGTGTCGTAAGTCCAAACATGTAAAAATCTGGCCGTCATGTTTGACCCGATCGCCATACTTTCCCTCTGTTGTAACAGCCTGCAAAGTAAAATGAATTAATAGAATCAGTTTTTAAGGCTAAAAAACACGACAATAAGGGGGAAAATTCTTCATAATAATTTGCATTTAAAAAATTCTATAAACATAAGTCAGAAATAAAAATTATTAAAGATTAAGATTATTGTTCTAAACATAAATTTTAGTTAGTGTGACATCTGCTGCTGCTTCTTTGTTACAAAATTTGATATGCGTTGTTTCGGAAAGAAAAAGCATTAATTCTATTATCCTTGAACATTCGTTCTATTTATTTCTGTTTAGGTTTTATTATTGACTTTGAAAACTTATCAGTAATTTGATTGTTATTTAGAGAGAGAGCTCCTCAGCACTAGACTGAGGAGCTCTCAGTCTAGTGCTACGTGCTAGTGCTTACGTGAGAGAGTTCCTCAGCACTAGACTGAGGAGCTCTCTCACGTAACCTCGATGAGCACATCTCTTCCAAAACGCGAATTTAAACACTCAATTGCTTGCGGGTAATGCTCGGCTGTCACCGGGAACGATTTAGTTACTTCCCTGGTTCTTGAGTCTTTCAGAGTCGACTGAATGAGGTATTGAAATTTATCCAAATCTGCAATGTTGGGATCTTCATGTATTTTCTTAAATAGCTCCCAAAAGGAAAGAAAATTTTTCAAATTGCCATAAAATTTTGCAATTCAATCTTTGGTAACTTAAAATTTCCCTTAGAACTGCCAGTTTCGCCTTCACTTCGTGTTTCATCTAGCTTCTTCAACCTCTTCAAACGGTGCTCTACCCTTTGGTTTAATCTAACGTACCGACTGATTTTTTGGGAATTTGGGAAAGACACCTAAATTCGATGCTACTCAAGTCTGGAAGAGAGAATTTCAATAAATTAGCAACTCTAATGCACTTTTTGCGAAAGGAAATTGAAAGTGAGGAGAAAATTTCCTTAGCCACAAGTGGGTTTGGCTTTCAGAACAAAACCAAGGAGGTTGTACAAGGTAAAATTAATTATGGCTGCCTCTCCCTATAACAAGACTGTTCCAACTGGTATAAAACTTTTGACTTCTGCTCAAGAGAAACCATTTAGGGATCAGCAAAGTAGAAAAGCAGTGAGAAGTCTCATGCTAGCGCTGAGTGCAGCAAGTCGGAAAATTTGATTTTAGATCAAAGGAAACAAATCCTTATAAAGCGAGGAGCTTGTTTTAAATGCTTAAAACTTAATCTTCTTCGTGTAGGGCAAAATGTATTTATACAGATTGTGGCAAACCGCATCACGTTCTTCTCTGTAGGAATAGCCGAAAGGTATCTCCCAACAATACTTCTGTTGGTGAAGGTGACGGCGCATCCCAAGGATGTGAGCAGGCATTGGCTAAGGTGTCATCAACTCCACGTGTTTTGCTACAGACTTTGGTTGTGATTCTGAGGAGAGAGGAAAGGTGTCTCAAAATCCGTGCAATTATTAATACTGCCTCTCAGAGGTCTTATATCTTGAAGAGTACTGCGGAAGAGTCGGTTACCAACCAATGAGAAAGGAAAATTTAAAACATTCGTTGTCTGGAGGTTCTTGTACGGATATTTATGAACTCGATGTGTACAAGGTACAGTACACCTCCCGTGCATGGACGATAAATACCGTTGTAATTTTGATGGCTTGGACCTATCGACCATTTGTTTAACCATGCCCCCAGTTACACAGGAACTGTGTCAGGACGAGTTGTTTATTAATTAATTAAATATGGGGATATCTTTTTCTGCTTTTTTTGGTGGAATATAAGAATCATGTGATTTATAAGTTACATTCGCTATTTATTACACAGTAAAAATAATTGAAATATTAATATTTTAAAATTAAAGTTAAATTTTAATATATTTTCTAAATTCATTTCATTCACAAAATTATGTCTTGCTTATAAAATTTTATTGCTTTCTGTGTTATCATCTTAGAAGTATGGAGAACATGTCAGAAGTTGCAATTTGACACAGAGTATTAAAAGCCAAAATCATGCACGGATAAAAAAAACAGACCTGTATCTACTCGGGGACGAGAACCGAGTGAAATTAAAATACAAAATGGCGACACTCTCTAAAAACAGGCAGTAGTCCGAGATTTGTGCATTATTGGTTGGGCAGTTGGAAAGGCGAACGTTGAGGGTCGAATGTCGAAAAACGAATCTTTGAAAAAAACCTGTCCCGTATTATTCGGGACATATCTTTGGTTGCCACGTGCTGACCTTGATCAGTTGAGCCGAGATATCCCGTTTCCAAGGTCCTAGATTATAAGGTTCCCTCATAGAAAAGAAACGTTTCTCATTGGTTACTTATTTGACGTCAGCCACAGTCGAAAACGAAACATCCTTATGGGAGAAACATTACTGATCAGAGGCTTGTAGCTTTAATTACACGCTAATATTTAATTAATTACGATTCTTAATGAAATATAAATAAACATGGATTATAAATTTAAAAAATCCGGAATATTGAGCAAATCTTCGTAATTTTTACCTGTAAAGTTGAAATTAAAATGCAATTTTCTACAGTGTAAATGAAATCGATTTTATCTATTTTATGATATTATAACAACAATAGTTTCTTAAAAGATTAATTTTGGTAAATTCTACGTAGGTGATTTATATATAAATGAATTAATTTAATTTATATTGTCAAACGACATTTTTTTTTCTTAAATTAAAAATTATATAGTATTGCTCTAATTTTTTAACTTTTTATATTTATGTACCAAAAACGATATTATTTACTCATACATATACAAAAATAACTTTGTCGAAAGAACAATTTTCTATGTTATAAACATATTTTTAATATCAATATATACAAATTAAGTGTTACATAGAAATAGAATTAAAAGAAATCAGGTACAAATTTTTAAAAACTTTCTATTGTTATTACAGTTTTAAATTAAGATCTAAAGTTTTACAATCATTACATTTAAGAGATTCTTCTGGTTTATCCCGTTTATTTACATCTAAAAGTTTTTCTGTCCAATTTTTTTTCTATTTCTTTTTAATAAACGATTCTTTCTTTCATTTGATTGATTAATATTTTCATTTTCTACATTTCCTAAATTTACTGTCGGTAGTAAAGTTTTCTTTAGTTTAGGTTTTGCCAATAAACCTAATAACTCGGCTTTTAAAATTCTCTCAAAATCATTTTCTGTGAAATTATCAGGGCGAACATGACAAGAATCGAGATTGAATTTATCTTTTCTTTTACAATTATGAATCCATCTTCTTCTTATTATTGGATTTTTAGGAAATCTAAAATAACCAACTTTCCTGTTTAATAACTTTGTGTTATGATAGCTCTTATATAAGTTGCAACAACACATGATGCTCCTGGCATCTAAAAACAAAAATAATGATAATTATAAAATTTAGCTATTTTTTAAATCTTCCCAAATAAATCTAATCAAGATATACTATTCTGAAGTATAAAAAAGTAGTATTAACATTTCTAACATAAAAATTATTAAACAAATAAAAACACTACAATAAGTTTATACTATATATAAAACATTATTATATTTTGCATTTCTATTCATTTTACGTAAATATACATATTTTTAAAAAGTTATATTAATTAATAATAAACAATATTTTCCTTTTACATCTCATCTTAAAAGTTTTACCATCCTGTTAAGGAGCCAGCTTATTATTTGTAGTCGTCATTACATCGTGCAGATACTATTTTTATAAACGCAAAAACTATGATTAGTATTTTAAAATTTTTTAGTAAAAATATATATTATCCATAATCATATTCGGTAATTTCTACAGAACCAAATGTAAAGACCACAACCGAATATCAAACGATTCTAGAAACACTTTTGTTACTTCCATACTATATTTATGGATATAATTATCAACATAATTATCTTTAGTAATAGTAATAACGATAGATATATTTACCTTCGAAGATTAAGAGTCTAAAAATTCTCAACAAAGTAACAAAAATAGTGAAATTCCAAAACTTTTTTCCCTGGCTAACTGTTGTGAAGTGGTTGCTCGACCACGGCTTGACTACGAATGACGTATATCCGGAATCTGGCAGGAAGTGGCTAAACCAGCTATATGAGGTAACTTTATATTCTAGGACCTTGTCCCGTTTCATCACCGGAACGTTTTTGAAAGTAGATTATGCTAATCGTTATAATTTTATATTAAAATTAACTTCCGAGATATGATTTGTTTTCTTTTTACATTAATATGAAAATTTCCCGTTTTTAAAAAAAATAATCGTGGCTAAANATTAAATTTATAATGTATTATGTATCACAAATTAATAGTATTAAAAAAATATTACGTAAAAAATGTTCCTTGCAACAATCACAAACTTTATTATACATTTCAAAATGCAAAAATAAAAAAAAAAAACTTAAGCTGCCGATTATACAATGCAACAGATCAATAAATGTTGCTCAGTTGGTCAGTAGTAATGGGGATACCATTATGCGTGATTTGTGATTATGCTACCGACTTTTGATGGTGGGGTGTTATCGTTATTATTATTATCTCTCAACAATATCCCCACAATTTGTTTGAAAAAACTATTTTTTTCTTTATAAAAAGTATTTTTTATTGTTAGCAAGGAAAACGACATAGCTAGTTTCTCCAGATTTTCTCTACAAGCTGTAATTTTTTTCATTATTTATTCAGTACTTTTATTAATTTTTTATTAACAAGACTATGTCGAGTTTTTAAAATCGTACTGCCTGCTGTGTTACCATCGTAGAGGTATGAAGGAGTACATGTCAGAGGTTGCAATTTAGCACATAGTATTAGGTGCCGAAATCATGCGCACATAAAAAAAGCAGAATTGTAGGTACTTGGGGGACCGAGAACCGAGTCAAAATAAAATTCAAATTGGCGACACTCTCTACAAATAGGCAGTGCAATTTGCGCATGCATTGCTCGTTGGGAAGTTGGAAATGCCACGAAGATACGCTACTGAAAAAAGGTTGGGAACCGTTGAAATATAAAATAATAAAAAGTAAACTAATAAAACTTAAATTTTGCATTAGGAATTTAAATTAACCACTCAGCAGTGAGCAATGAATATATTCATCAAGGGCGATTGTTTGGCAGTGGTGAGGGATGAATATATGCGTCAAACTCTTTTGGGGGGTATTGGCAAAAACTAGCCTAAAACTACCTCGAAAAAAAAATTCACATAAAAAAAAAATTATGTAACAATAAAAAAAGACTTTTGTGTACTAGACATAACTGTTTACAAAATCTTTTTTTGAAATAGTAATGAGAAAAAATGTGTGGAAAAATACTCTAAAAATTTCGCACGTTTATTCTCCACTACTAAGGGTTGCAAGGTTAAAAAACATAAGTGATACCATAATCTAATAAATCAATACAATATGAAAATCACACTATTGTTTACATATTAATATAATAAATTCTGAAGTACCACCATCAGATTGTTCATTCTCTGAAGATAAACTAAAATTGACTATCTTGTCCCATTTATTGCCATAATTTGGTTTGAATAACCTGTGTGTTATCTTTATTTGAAAATCAGTTTGAAGCAGATGCAAGTTGTCCAATGGTGTGGATTATTTGTCAATTTGATTTGCAATTATAAACTCACCAAACAGCTTTTCCTTTGTCCAAAACTATATTTAGAAAATGTGAAAATACCTTTATGTATCATAGACATTCATCTGCCATTAAGATTTTTCTGGAAACCATCTGATACACAGTTTTAATTTTAGTTTTCTCCTGATTTTGTTCATATTCATTTTCTTATGTCAATGCATGCTTTAATTGATGATATACAATTCTACTTACACTTATTTTACTTGAAATTAAATGGATCAAAACTCAATTATTTGTCTTTCATTGTTTATTATAATTTATAATCAAAATTTTAGGTGAAATTTTCAAAAATACTTACAGAATCATAATAATAGCCTGTACTTATACTATAATACATTCCTCTGGTTTCATCATAAATATAATCAGAATGTGTGAGTGCTACTTCTGCTGTTTGTTTCACTATATCTGTTAATGTTTCCTGCAATTAACATAAAAGTAATCAAAATATATTCATTTAAATAATGTATAATTATTGCTGAATGTAAGTAAATACAAATTGTAAATATAAAGAAAAATAATTCATTTTAATAATTATCAAAATACGTTCAAACATACAAGTGGGGGTGCTTTCTAATTAAGTCGTCTATATTTTAAACTTTGCATTATATGAACAAAATTTTGCCATTTTAAATTAATGATAAATAATTAAATCAAATACACATAAAGAACACAACTACTTAGTTGTGTTCTTAATGTGTATGGATTTAATGTCGATTTAACCTGCTTAACACACTATAGATATGAATGGTAGCATGCATTATACTAATAGTTTGAATACATAACATTTAGCATGAATAAAATAAAAACAGTTTGGATAAGCTAAAATTAAGAACTAATAATAAAGATTTTCCAAAAAAAAAGGCATTAATTCTTGAAAGGTTCTCAAAAACGTAAGAAGAGAAAGAAAGCAGATGTAAACTAGAAACAATAATTAGCTGGAAACAAATAGCCAATACAAACAGATAAATAAAAATTGTTAGACTTAATTTAAGTTTAGTTTAACAGTTTTGTTTAAAAGTTTTAGTGTGTAAATAGAGAGCTGTCTGTAAATTACAAACAAAAAGTTGGTTAAGGAAAATTTTCTGTCAATTCATGCATCTTTTCTGAAGCTTGTACATCAGGAGAATAGTTGAAGAATTTAACTATTCTTCAAGATGATCATTGTAATAAATTTTCATATAGTTAGTATCAGCCAGCCACACAATGTTTCATGTGTAAATGTGAATTCATTAATGGCCAAAGAATATAACAATGCTGTGTGTGTAATTTAAAGGCATGCCATCAGAGAATGCAAGGTAGGTAATACATGTCCCAAAATACTTGTAAAAAAATACTTTTTTTTTTATTGAGTTTTCATAACAAAAACGTAAATTTACCTAATTTCAGTGCTAATATACATGTATGTTGTATCTCATACCTGATACAAGCTAAAAATTTTTAATTTTTATAAGGATAGGATTAAGGCACTGCCATAAAGTAGATACCCATCCTTTTGGAGAAATAGAATGAGAGTGATGTACATTCACAGCCAATAGGTAGAGGAAGTATACATCATAGTGTTGCCACATGTAAATTTGAATTTGAAATGTTTTGTTAATAGAAAAGTTGAATAAATAATGAAAGATAGGCAAAGTGAGCACCATGACGGTTCACCTGTCAAAAACTTGTGTATAACATTTTGCAACTCCTCTTCTATCCAAAATTTGTTAGAAAATGTATGTAATATGAGCAATAATGAAAAAGCAGTGCCAAATTTTTCACCCTGGTGGATAAATTTTGAACTGAAAAATCAAAACTGCATACTAAGGACAGTATATAAATCAAATTTGGTTGAGATTTGCTCAGTGGTTCTTTCTACAAAGAGGCTGAACATCTACTCTTTAATTATGAATACTTGTAATTATGATTATTGTATTTAATTATGATACAGATAATTTCATATATATTAGTCAAGATAATGCACAGTATTTGATTGAGGCCCTGAAAATTTTAAAAAGTTCAAGAGCTCCCTTTTAGTAATACACAGTGACACTGTCAAAGATTTGTCAATCTTTGACAGTGAAAAAATTGCAACCGTATTTGTATAAACATACTAAAAGAGACTTGTAAAATACGGTAAAACATCATCGTCGACTCGTGTTGCAACAGAATTGGTTGAATCTAGACCAATAGCGGATATTGCACAAACCGTTGAGTTTAAATGAGCAGCGGACCTACTAGAAATCATTTATTATTTAACGTCCATAAAAATTATATTTATATTAATGATGTCTCCAAAGTTCANTTATAAACGGTAAGCGACTTAAACGCCAATACAGTAGTAAATCGGTTTCACTCGATAATTAGTCCGAAATCAATTTGCGAAATCCGAAATCGTCGAATCCCGTGACAAATTTTTCCATATGAATCAATGTAAATCCAATTAATTCAATCTAGAGTTTTGTATGTATTTTTGAAATTCTAGATTCTAGAAATTCCAAAATACATACGAAAACACATTTTATACTGAAAAAAATATAGCGTTTAATACTAAAAATAGTAAAAAATAATAAAGATGATGGCCTCCAAAACAGATACGACATTTGTTTTTGATTGATGCAAAGAAGAGCACACTTTACTTTTGAATGAAAGATTGTTACGATGATCGCTTTACATCAAGTACTGCGTTAGACATGTGCATGTAAACTTTGTATTATTTTACTTACATCAATTTTATATTTATACAGTAAATGTTTGTGAGTAGATTATAATACTCTATATTTTTATTCACAGCAAATAACGTTTCAGCCTATTGTTAAGTGCTAGAGATAGGACTATTATCCTTAGTATACAATAATTTAAATATTATAATATACTAGCTACAAGTACCCGTTTCGCTGGGTTTTTATTTGTTCGTATATTTACATGTATGTAATATAGTTTTTTTTTAATATAAAAGACGGTTTCTCTTACTCTACATAATCTTTGTCTGATTCGATGTGTTTCCTATAATTTTCAAGTTGCTCTTCTGTCTGATTATTTCTGTTTCGATGTGATTCGAGACGCAAAAATTCTTTCTTACACTTTGGAATTGTTTTTTATATTTTTACTTTTCACACTTCACTATTCACTTTCTACCTTTTTCTGTTATTCATACACTTTTACTAATGAAAAATCAACTGAAGCATGTGCGTCACGTGTTCAAATGCCATCCCCACTACTCACACATAATGGTCCTAGACTATTCCAAAACATTTTGGACTACGTATTCCAAAACATTTAAGATTAAGATTACATTATAGCCAATCTTACACAATTTCACAGAATGGAAGAATTAGGTCCCCCATTTCCAGACTAATTAGAGAATTTTTACATGAGTCTAAAAATATGTTCGATTTCTTGCAAAAACGCAATAAGTCGCATCTGCGCTGTAAATCTTGCAAGCCACTTTTTTTAAAACACTTTCATTTTTAACACTTCCATTATTGACACTTCCATTGTTACACATTTTCGAAGTCAATCGCTTTCAACTTCCATATCTCCCCCACCCTTATAGCTATCGAGACAAAACCACCATAGTGCACGATNGAATCGATTAATTTTATGGAAGAAAGCCTTTCAAACAGCCGTAGTCCATAAACTGCATACGTGCCGGGCTGTGATTGGCTCATGTATTTAAGGACTCGTAGAACATCAATTTCATAAAGAACGAAACGTATCTACTGTGTTATAGGGGGGATTGACTGTATAAGATTAATATTGTTTATATACAGTATTATAAATTACAAAATAGATGTGAACAGCAACATGAAGAGATGTGAAATAGCAGAATTGAACTACCAAAGATAGTCAGGAACAAAGCCATGCAGTATTATAATATGTAAATGCTAAAAAAATAATCTATACTGTGATATATAATATTCTTTGTCATTACTAATTAATCTCTATAAAAAACTTCAAAGTAAATAAATTTTATTTCTAATAATTTTCTCATTTTCTTTTTCCTCATTCAATTAAATTTAATCTTAACAGAAATTTATATAAAAATACAAAACTTACACTTGATCCTTCTGGAAGTATCCAATCTTCAACAGAACCTTTAGATTCTAAATAAGATTTTAATTAAAAGTAAAATCAGAAATCAAAAATTATAAACAACAAAGTTTAAAGTTTAAAATTTAAAATAATGATTAAGGTTGCTAGACATTTCAATTTTCTGGGAATGTCTCATTTCTAATCACAACCATATTTAAAAGAGAGTTTTCAGGAACATTAAATATCTTTGTTTATTCATACATTTTAACAAAACATTTTACAAATGAATTTACAATATACAGAACAAAATTATCATCATTTTAAATGATAAAACTTTTTGAATAAATATTTCTTTCTCTGACTTAGATAATGTTATCATTTGTTACAAAATATTAGTAGTAATTAGATTATAAAAAATTTAATAAATTTATCTTTAGTGTTTCTTCATCTAGCAGCAATGAAATTTCAGAGAAAATATTTTTTTCATAGAAATATATTGGACTAATGCATAACACTAACACTGTGAATCTTCATAGTGTTTATGTCATACTACTTAAAATCATGTTTATAATCAATACAAAACATTGAACATTGTATTTCTTCTTCATTTGTACACACAGATACACACACACATATATATTTTTAAAATTCAATATTTGTATCCAACCTTTTCAATATGTAACATATTTATAAAATTATTATTATACAGTACAATATTGTATTGTTTCTAGTTTGTTAACTTTGCAATTTGCATTTAAATAGTTTAACAATTATACATTAATATTACAATCTGCAGACCATTTAAACTGACAAGGACATGTCATCCTCTCTGATTCAAATGAAACTTGGCAAGCACAGACCTAAACACAAATAGTTCTTTGTCCAAATAATAGGACCCACTTCTCAAGCATTTCTGAAAAACAGGCCTCTGAAAATTGAGTGTTCAACTTATAGGTCTGGAAGTTCTACATATTGTAAGAATGGCAGTAGCTGAGTGGATAAGGTTGTAGACGCTGGAACTATTTAATATGGGCTCGATTCTAGGCAACTTCAGTTGTTTTTTTTTTTTAAATATGTAATATAGTTATTTTATTATTTTAGCATATCATTAGCATTATTATTACTATTCTTATTCCTCATACTTAGAGCTTATAAAATGAGATTTAAAATTGTCACATCGTTTCCTGTTTAGTGAAAATGAAGTTTCTGTAGATTTAACTCTTTTATGTTGGTAAATAAAATTTTTATTTCTTCATATTTATTTTTTGATATTTTAGCTTGTGGTTACGTGTTCTGTCAATACAAGAAAATAAGATTCAGACATTACTGCTCATGGATGAAAAATCGAGTCCCCAAAGTGAAAATAAGATAGCATAGTTGCAGCATTTTTCTTTTAATTGTTAATGTTATAAACAATTCCCTCATGTGCTTATGTTTGTTACACTTCAAATAAAAATACCACCATATCTGACGCTTAAGTGAGGAATAAGAATAGTAATAATAATGCTAATAATATGATAAATTAATAAAATAACTATGTTGCACATTTAAAAAAATAAAATAAAATAAATGAAACTTGCATGAGATTGAACCCATATCATGTAGGTCCAGCATCCAGAATCTCATCATCACTTGTCTACTGCCATTCTTACATTACAATATGTAGAACTTCCACACTTATAAGCTGAACACTCAATTTTCAGAGGCTTGTTTTTCGGAAACACTTGAGAAGTGGGTCCTATTATTTGGACAAAGAACTATTTGTGTTTAGGACTATGCGCTCACAGGTTTCATTCAAATCGGATATATATACATATATTACGTCACTAAATAAAGCTTATCATGGATTCATTTTACTTCAATAAATTTTATGTTTAAAAAAATATCTAACAACCGTAAGTGTACATCCTACATGGCAGCATTCAGCAACTGCAGGTGTGAATATGCTACTGAGTGAAGCAGATAAACTGATATAAGCAAATGTGCATGTCCAGAGTCATTTAGCATGTAATAACCACCAGATACACTTCTTTATGCACGTGAAGGAAGTAGCTACCAAGTAAGTTTACTTGCTTGGTAGCTTTACATTTGTTGTCAATTTGTATTATGAAATAAGATGATCCAGCTTTTCTTTTTAGGAAGTGGTAGTGGTAGTGGTAGTCGTAGCTATCACTACCACTACCTAAAAAGAAAGTTGGATCATTTTATTTCATAATACAAATGGTAAAATTCACTGAATTCATGGTATCTCTTATAGACATCATACCTACAAGAAGTTTCAATAATACAATGTAGAAAACTGGCAAAGTGGCAAGCATTCAATGAAGTCATCTCATTGCCATTTTGTAAACAATACACATACACTCCACATTCACTGCACACTGCCATATAGGACGTACCCTAATACATTATTATTGTTATGTACATTTTAGATTTGCAATTATAATATTTTGCTTGCAATTTACTTACCAAATTGATAAAAATCAGTTTCATATGTCTGTGTTTCTGAATCAGATAAAAATTTGTTTAAGTGACAATCACAACTTGAAGATGTTTCGGGTGTTTGAACACAAGCATCAATAAGTTTGTAACAATTGTTGTTACTATGGTCTGCATTACTTTTTCCAGTTACATCATTGCAAGATTTTCTAATTAATGATAATTCATCTTTTACAATTTTTAATTCTTTGTTCTTCAATTGTAATTGAATTTCAAGAGTTTTTATCTTTTCAAGTAATAATAATTCATCAGCCATTTTCTCAAAACAAAACTAAAAAATAAATAAATAATATTTTTTTATTTGATTTTAAAAATATAAAGAAAAATGCAAACATATTAATATCTTTAACACTAGTTATTCCAGTAAATAAACAAAAAAACAAAAAATGTTACAATATTGATCAATTTATTAAGTAAGGGTAAATCTATGATAAAAAACTTTCAAACTTAATATCATAAAAAATTAATATTACATGTTATTATGTAACAGGGTTATCTAGTAATTTAATTTTTGTTGTCATTTACATTAAATTTTAAAAAAGTAAAGTTAAATTTTTATCATAAAATGATTATACAAGTAACTCAATATATGTGGTTAATTGGTTTTGCAAATATACAGCATATAGCAAAACCACACATATCAAAGTTAACGATCAATGGGAATTAAATTAATTTGCAAATTAGATCATTAAGAATTCTTCTGAAAGTTCTTTTTACATTTATATTCCCATGGGAAAACAAAAACATGAGAAATGAATAAATCATGTTAAAAACATTTATTAAAGAATTATTAATTAAATATTTTAGACAAATTATTGTATAGTTATGTAGTTGCATGCAAAAATAAAAACAAATCACATAAAATAACATTAAAGAATCATTATTGAGAGTTTAGACTAACTAATAAAGTAGGCCAAACAAGAAAAACATGAAGTAAAACTTTTAAAAATCAAGAAAATATTTATCACATGTCACCTGCATAGTTGCTGCCTTCTTTTTTTTTTTTGGCCCTGAAGTCATAGAATTTCATCTCTAGAACAGATGAACAAACATATCTCAATATTCCAACTACAGTTTCATAGTTCAAAAATAAAACCTCCATATATGATGATATATTATTGTATTCAAATCAGAAAAAAATTAACAGATTTATAAAATTTAAAAAACAAGAACATAGTAGAAAAAATGTGTATCAATCCTGACTGAATGGAAAATAAAACTTTCTTGAAACATCCATCATCATCACAATGAAGCAAGCATTGAACAAGATAAAATTATCACACTTAAATTAATCAAAATCAATTTTATCATAGATTTATTTTCTAGAATACTTGAATTTGATGATACCTTTTAAAAAAATTTCAGTTTTGTGATGATACTGTTAAATCAATAGAATCAAGTTTTTTATTTCCTCAATCAAACAGTAATTAGCAAGTTAAATAGAACAGTACAGGGAGTATTCATAAACTATGTAGTCAGTTTTCGGTTTATTTTTGGACACTCCTTTCTCCTTGTAATCATACTGTAGTTGAGACTTTTGTTTTGCTGATATCCCCTCCTGTTATATAGCCTTTTGTTTAGTATGTTTTGTAATATCATTGAAATGTATTAAAATGTGCAGGCCACTGAATTTTCATATCTTATATAAATAACTCTACATGGCTGGCAAACTAACTGAAATTGCTTTTTATTCTTTTATAAAGTGTTACAAAAAATAAATAAATGGAAATTTCAGTTATTAATTTCACAAATCTTCACTTGTGCAGATAACTTTTATATATTACATTTATGTAAGTTTTATACGATGATCTATTTAACTAGTAGTTACTTATTATATGGCTTCAACAACTCTTCTATGTGGCTTACAGGATTGTGTTCATTCTCAAAATCTGTTTGATCAATTTTGATTTAACTTTACCATTTTCCATTAATCATGATGAGGAATCCAAAAATGTAATAAAAAAATTAGGGTCCATGACTTAATTTTCGAGATATAAAGTCATAGCATAAGTGCGCACAACAAAGCAATATTGCACAAATCGCAAGATGTTCCATGGTTGCTAGCACATTTTCTACGAGCTTATAGAATTGACTTTGCCTTTTCCATTAACTGTGATGAGGAAGAGAGTCCATTTAAATGTAAAAAATAAGAGTTCATGACTTCATTTTTGATAGTAGTGGGCAAGTTTTTTGTTGTATTTGATTAGTATTTAACTGCAGTTTAAAAAGAGTGTTAAAATTTAATTTTTCTATAACTTACTATGTCAGTAGAGAGAACTGTCCTTCCCTATAACTGTCAATGAACTTACTGTATGCAAGTTTAAAAGCAATGCATGTTATAATATGTAATCATTTTTGTCTTACTCCAGTTTGTTTTCACAATGGTTTCTAGGGATCACTGCACATAAGGTTACTAGAGTTTTCAACTTATATGCCTTAACCTTGCCAAAAGAATGTGTAGACTGAACACACAGTTAAGGCATAAAAATAATTTATTTTGTTCCTAAAGAAAAAAGAATTAGTAATTCTGACATTATTAGAATAAAATTCAGTTTAATGTTGTATAATCAGTAACAAAAGAAATAGAGCTCATTTCTTCATTTCTATATATTCTTATCTTTCAAATTGAAATTGATAAGCCTTTTAATTACAAATGTTGCAATCCTAAATGCAAATTAAACTAAGTGGTCTGTGATACCACTTAGTTTAATTTGTGTTAACAATTATTTGGTATATTTTCTTTATCATCATTTCTGGCTTTTGAAGGCCACCAGATAATGGATCAATGTCATTCCCATGGTACATTGTTGATATAACAATAAAATTTTTCTTTGGTTTTGGAATATATGACACTAGAGTCATATTTCTTTGGAAAGCAAATAAGGAAGTTTTCTCTAGTCTCCCTTTTACCTTTTACATGTTACTTCTTAGTTGAAAAGGTATTTCCCTCTTATCCTTCTTCAAAAGTTCACTACAAAGTGGTAAGCTTGAAAACCAATTGTCAGCAGTCACATTTCTACCCGTCTCTAATATCAGTCTAACCAAACACAGAACAACTACTTTTTTGGCAGTTTGACTGTTTATACGGGCCTTTGGATTGCTTCCAACATACAATTCCATAGATTTTGCGTAAAAGGTTCTCACATCAACTAGAGTAAAAATCTTTATTCCACATCCAGCAGGCTTGCTAGAAGATACCGGCGAAACGGGCACTTCCCACGGAACGGAAATAGCCGCTCGTCGACCGTTCTCATTTCACTTACCGCATAGAAATTCTTGCAGCAAGAAACAAACAGCTCAAAAATTTCCCTAAATGGAGCAAACTCATCAACTTCCCACCTTGCCGATACCGTCAAAGCAAACGCATCTCGATATTAGTAGAAAGGGTAGAAAGTGCTTTAGACTCGTTAGTTAAGGGTTAATGACTATATTTTTTCCAGTGTTTTTTCCTTTTTATAGCAAAAGGCTCCAATATAAGTATACTCTGAATTTGTTTCAAATGAAAGCATCATCATAATGATAATTCTATTTTATCACGTGTTCATCATCATCGATTTAAATTTGATAATAAAAACAATCATCAAACACTGAGATAATTACACGTGGATTTTCAAAATGTATAAATAAAAATGGAATTATCGTTTCCAATCAGATTAAAAATTCATTAAAACTTTAAGGAATTCTAATGGCATTAAATGATTATAATTTAAAATGCTCAAATATTTCCAAAATAATTAGATTTTTACCTATTTAAAGTCTAATAATCCGTATACTACGTTTATATTTAATATATGATTCAAATAGTAAAAATAATCCAGAAACGAACACAAAATTAGCATTAACGCCCCCTTCTCATTTTAAAACGTAGAAAAACATTTTAAAAAATTTATCGATACGTTCGAGAATTTCCCTCCTAAAAATTCGGATTAATAAATTACTAATAGAATTAATATTAATTTATTTTGGAATTTAGTTTTTAAAAAATGAAATACAATTTTTATCGTGTTTTCAATATAGCGGTCAAGATGGCAGCTTACAGCTCTGGAGGATCCGGGTTCGGATCCAAACGGGTCGATAAGTCCCCAGGAATTTTTTTCGAGGGGTAGTCCGTCCGGATATGTCGGGCCCCGTCCTTCACCACGCGGCCGCCCCATCGTGGTTCTGACCGAACCCATTACGGGCTTGCTAAAAGAGGATCTTAGTGCCCACAGGGTTGAAAAAGTTAAATAAACTAGAAAGAATTAATGCAGTTTCCAAGTCCTTGCAAGATTAGAAAATCACGCTAGACATGTTCTTTGTATTCATCTTTTTTTGAGTTCCTAATGAGTTTGAAGGATCAGTTTGACACAATCGAAGCAGAAGCTAAACAATTATTGCCCGATACTAATTATACAAAATAGAGACAACGAACTAAAAAAAAAAATTCAATTAAACCTCAATCAAATGAAAAAGTGTCCCAAGGAAAATTTTTAAAATATTGTTTTTCTGAAAGTTTTGTTTGTTTGTTTAGTTATGGCAACGCAACACTTGGGCGATCTGCCTAGGGGATGCCTTCCGGGAGGTCTTTTAAAGGGAAACTGGCCCCTATTTAGGTGTTACAGACGTGGAGAAAACTCGGAAAACTCCACGTGGCCAGCCCGTCCAAGCGAGGGGAGAACACACGACCGAACTCTCAGTGTTCAGGGTACGAAGACCGCTTGGTCTTTGGTGGGCCCTGAAAGTTTTGCAAAAACATTAATATGAATTTGGAACGAGCTGAGTCTTATAAGGAAATTAATCAGAATTTTGGATTTGCAATCAACATTGACATTCCTAATGAAGAACTGAAGACATGTGTACAAAATATCGTCAAGTAATACCGAAGACATATTGATGATTCATTATACTGTATAGTGAAGTTTTGTAACACTATAGTTTCATCAAAATTAATTATCGAGATCGAGAATCCCCTTTGATTCATTTGTTATTGTATAAGGCGATAAGAGAAAAGAATATGGAAATTGCATTTCCAAACACTAAAACAATTTTAAGAATTAATTTATGCTTCATGATTACCAACTGTTCTGGTGAGAGAAGTTTTTCAAAATTAAAATTAACCAAAAATAAGGTATTTTATGATAGAATATATATAAAATTTTTATGTGAATAAGTCAAATAAAATTAATTTCAGGAATAATTATTATTTTTAGGGCCCCGACGCCTTGCTTGTCCTAGGGCCCCCAAAAATGCAAATCCGACTCTGATGTAATGCGATTATTTCAGAATTTTGAACTCTGTTCGAAACGAAGAAGCCTTAAGTAAGATGTATACGGTATATTATATTTCATTAAATTTTATACAGTTTATATATTTTAATATTCATAAAGCGATAAAGATTTTGAGGGTGGTTGAGTTTTGTTGGACATCCGAAGAGGGGAGGGGGTTAATAAATTTTTATTTAATTTTTTCGGTTTCTTCACAAGTAGATTATAGAATACAATATTGCAATATTGCAATTATGTGGAATCGTTATCACTCAGTTCAAATTTATCGTCTTTTAATTAATTATGAGTTTAGCGTCCTTGAAGTGCGGTATGTTCTCACGAAAAGTCGACATAATAGCCAACGTTTTATCAGCTTATCCGTATACTTCATTAATTAATTTAAAACCCTTTCTGTAATCAAACTGTTAAGACAGCCTCGTTTTATGCTTTTACGGATCCTCTAGGTCTTCTAGTGTACCGACGCTCGAAACGAAATCAAGCTCCCGCGATTGCGCTGTTCGCCGTAGCGGCATAATTTAGAACTAAGATTTCAGCAGTGCTCTAGAGTCTAGACTCTAGACCAGTGTTTCCCAACGTTTTTTCGTGCTATGCCTCACCTAAGCCTTTCTAAAATTCATATGCCCCCCTAACATATACAGCGGCTATAAGGTTTCGAATTGCCCTTCTGTGGGGCATGGACTCCACGTTGAGAAACACTACTCTAGACGCTCGTATTGATCTACACAGGTATTGTACTGTAGTACAGCACATTGATCTACAAATAAGACACCAGAGGGCACCACTCAAATTAAAGATAGAAAATAATAATAATAATTACAATGGAACAATTTTGTAACATTATTCCTAAAGTGGTTAGTTTATCAATTTATTTTATTAACATTCCAATTATTTGCATGTGATTACGTTATTATTAATTTATAAACTAGTTAATATGAAAAAATATAAATCGTAAAAAACTATTTTTATCGAAAGTAAATTAATAAATTTCGAATTAAACAGAATTCAATTCATTATAATTTTAAAATTATTTTGTATTAAAAAGGACGTAGAATATTTCATTAATTTTAAATTAATTTTCTGTCTTACTCGAGGATACGATGTTGATGCTTACGCAATGAACACACATTAGACAAAATGGCGAACGTAGCTGACAAACTGCGCTTTAAAGAAGAGAGAAGGAGGCAAAAAGCCTTCTTAAAACAAATAGAAACCCCGGAACAAAAACGTCTCCGAAGATTAGCGAAGAAAGAAGCGAAAGAAAGAAAACGGAAAGAGCAAATGGGATGGGATGAAGAATACATGGGATATACAAATACTGACAACCCATTTGGCGATGCCAATCTTCTGAAGACATTTGTTTGGAATAAAAAGTTGGAAAAAGAGGGACTTAAAAGCTTAAAAGANTTAATTCTGAATTGTAATCTGTAAATGCAATTTGATTTGAAACAATGAAAACTTTCCTAAATTAATTAGTGATTAAATAATTTCATATGTGAGAAAGAAATTTTAATGAATATCACTTAGTTGAAAATTTTTATAATTATAGCTGTATACATGAATTTTTCCAAATATTTTTAATCTTTGAAAATTCTTAAAGGAACTACATGCTCATTTGAATGGTTCTCTAAGTTCTGAAACACTACTAAAGTTGATGAAGATGAAAAATTTAACACAATCTGATCAGTTGATTAATCCATCATTGTTAACATATTCTGGAGGAAAAAAGACAATGACTGAGTAAGGTAAAATTTTTATTATTTATCTTTGATTTTGAATATTATAAATATTAATAATGTTTCTTTTCAGATGTTTTAAGTTATTTTCATTGATTCATCAAATTACTGATTCCCCAGAAGCAATATATAGAGTATGTGTTATTTACAATTATTTTAATACACAATATTTGCTCTGAAAGTATACAGTGCCACCACACTTGCACTGTAATCAAGTATTATATAGTTGTATCCAAACAATAATATTTGAATAGATTGCTGCTCAAAAATAAACAACAAATAGATTATTGGGAATAAAACAAAAATTGTTTTATTGATTTGTTTGAATACAAGTTAAGGAATACTTTTATGTTGACAAGTATACTACATACAAATGAATAAACTGATTATTAGAAAAACATGCAAGTTTATTGTTTTTACAGTTTGATAGTCAAATATAGCATTGAAATGTTCAATGGTCATTTTTGTCTAATAGTGTGTGCAATGCAGGCTTGATAACAACAAACATAGGCTTGTGTTAGCAATGACATTGTTGATCAAGTTTTGTGGTAGTAATCTCTGTTCTTGTAGAAGAGCCTGTTAGAGCTCCAAAAGAGTATGGAGTGGGGTGCTACAATTTCAACCTGTCTTTCTAATGCATTTCATACATCCTCTAAGATAGTGTGACCCTTTGATGCTGATTCCCTTTGAAGCCAATGCTCAATGCCTTGATGCACAATGCATTTCATCATTTAGATGGTTTCTTCTACTCATTATTAAGAGTTATCCTATTTACACTTCATGAAACACACTGCATTTATGATGCTAACCAAAAATCAGAATAAAGTACTTTATAAAGGGACACAGTTCCAATTCTAGTACTACTGCTACTACTACTGCAACTTTCTTTTGCATTTCTGAAATCAGCAGTAAATTATATATCAAACATTTAAATTTTACACTAATTCCAAATAATAAATTTGATGTCTCAGTCTTTTTAAGTAGTTGCTTTGTTTTTAGCAATAGTAAATTTGTTTCTTATTGAAAATATTCTGTTCCAAAATTTGAATATATACTTTAGTTTAAACTAATTCTATTTCTTAAATTATTATGTTTGCTTTATTGTAATTTTCATTCTATTGATGCTTTATAAATGTTTTAATGAAATATTTTTTTGACAGGCTGCTTATGATGTGATCCAAGATTTCAGTAAAGATAATGTAAGATATCTTGAATTGAGAAGCACTCCACGTAATATTGAAGGAAAAATGACAAAAGAACAATATATAGAATCTGTTTTAACTGCCATAAAAGATAATGCTGAGAAGAATCCCAATATTTCAGTTAAAGTGCTGTTATCAATTGATAGAAGAAATTCATTATCTGAAGCATATGAAACAGCAAAATTAGCAGAAAAGTACATGCATTTGACAGATAATGATGTAGTGGGAGTTGATTTAAGTGGTGATCCTCAGGTATTAAATAATTCTATCATTTGAAATAATTACAATAATTTTAGATTAATTAAATTTCTATATTTTTAATTTCAGTAATTTTATTATGGAAAAAGACAAATAAAAAATTATTATATGAGGTATATTGTAATTGCAAAAACCATATTTATATACAGTAAAAACCTCTCTAGATAATCACTCTGAGTCAACCACACCTTTAGATCTAACTTGTAAGTTTGGATTTTCTTACAACAGAATTTTTATTCAATGGGATTTGTTGTTTTTAATTACCCTTTTAACTGTTCAGTGACCACCTATACTCATGATTCGTTTGTATGAAATACCTTCTTTGAGGCAGCCAGCCATGTTTTGATTTCATCATCCCATCCATAATTATGAAATTGAAATCATAGGTTTGTAGAACATGTAATGTTGGGCATGTTGCATTATATAAAGATTCGAGTGAGTCAAGCTTTCTAAAGTCCAAAACACACAGAGGGCTTTTTTAAAACTCATTCTGAGTTCAACCAAGCTCTCAATCAGACAGCTGGTTGGTATGGGATGGGACCTAACATATCCAGCACAGGCCACTCTTCAAAAAATTCCTGTGCTAATGATTATTCTGTTTTAACATATGAAAGTCTTATATTCTTGAATCTAACTTTTGTTTATTGAACATATTTGAATTTTAATAACAGATTGTTTTAACAAAAAAGAAAGTATCTTTTATTTTGTATTTAACTGAGTTAGAAAGACAATATTTTATATAATTGAATATATTTTGACTATTTACTTAAATACTTATTAGTGTTATGAACATATTTTAAAAATTTGAAAACATTAAAAAATTCATGGATTAAAGAGAAAGATAAAGTATTTAAAGCAATTAAATAATAATATGTATATGTATATATGTAATAACAATTTTAATTTGTACAAATAAACTAATTTTTTTAAGTTTAGTTACAACTTACAGTAGTTTTTGCACAAATGTTCTTTTGTCTTGTCTTCTCTCTTTTCATTCCTTTTCTTTTTCTTGTCTTTTGTCACGTGTTCAACTTCATGCTCCTTTTGCACAGCAAAGTTTTGGGTAATAATGGGATTCTTATTTCCTAAACACCTTACATTCCCCCACCTTATAGAGCCATTAAGAAGGTAATATTTTCTCAATACATGAATAAACATTCGTAGTTTTAACTTTTGAGGATCTACTAATTTCTTAGATACTTCGAGTAATTTTCGTTTTATTTTATAAGGTCCAATAAGGATCGGGTCAACTTTTTGTGTATTGTGTTTTTTTTTCTAGCCACACTATTCTTACCGAAAAATTTTGATAAGTTGATTGCAATGGGAATATTCAAAATCTCAGCGAGCAGCCAGCACCTCTCAGCACCTCTGTTCAAAATCTCAGATGACTTTCGGTTGCTGCCAGCGTGCTTCCACTATTGGCGTGCCGTCATTGGAAGCGGTGGAAGCGCCGCTTCCCTTGTATTTTTTAAAAAATTAAATACATATTGCGCGATTATTTTCATATTTTAACGTATTTTGGATTAATTAAAATTAATATTTTATTATAACCGATTTCGTATGTCCCATCTATAAGAGGATGTAGAAAAAAACGTGTATAATTCTANTTTTAAAAACCATTTAAAAGTTGTTTTTAAATTTTCAAATTTACATTATTTGCATGCAGTGATGATGGAACATTTTGCTTTTAATATATATACAGATTGGTACTAATTCATGCAACTTAATATTGTAGGGTATATCACACATTTGAGACCATTAATAATTTAATAACTAACATATAATAAATCTTTGACCATTATACTAATATGCATTCAGTTATCATTTAAACCCTTTTCATTTAACCTTTTTGGTCAAACTACAAATTACATAAAAACACAATATTGCATCATCAATTACCAAGTAATAAAATCCATTATAGATATAGTATAAAGAAATTATATCTAATGTATATTTTATAAAATTAAGTAATTGTCTCAAATGTATGTTATATCCTACAATATTAGGTTAGATGATTTAGTAATAATATACATAATAATCAATTTTATTAAGTTTTGTTAAATAACAATAGTTCAGGAAAACAATACAAATGCTAGAAAATAGATGTTTGACAACTCTTCTGCATGTTCATTAAATTCTTTAAATACTGTATCATAACTAGTGATGTGCCGGATATCTGCATCCATATCCGCAGATATCTGAGGGAAAAAAAGGATCCATATCCATTACTTTTTAGCGGATCTTTAACGGATCTTTTATCTTAATGAATTTCATTACTTATATGAAATTTTAAAGATAGATAGCAATAAAATACTAATAACTTCAATTCAAATCACTTTTTATTTCTTAAAATCACATATTTGGCACATTCATATTGCAAAAATTTTATCATGCAAAATTCATTTACTATCGTAAAGTATTTCCATATTACACTACTAAACTTTTTTGTCGACATTGTTTTTATTTTAATTTAACTCAACACTCTCCAAAGATACAAACATAATCTATGCTATCACGTGTCACACTAAACTATAAACAAAAACACGCGCAGTGCAAGTGAAAACACGTCACGTTACTAACGCAAAGCGTCAACTATCGGTCCAAGGTTACAAGCACTGGCGCCGACTGAGTACGATTTGAGATCCATATCCGTGTCTGTATCCGTGGATCTAGACACTAATGATTTGTATCTGTATCCGTATCCGCGGATATACATTTTTAACGTTCCGGCACATAACTAATTATAACATCATCTTAAAGGATAAAAATCTGTGTTTTAAAATCAAGGAAAGCATTAAATAAAAAATAATAAGTAAAATATTTTGAAATTGTATTCCTGAAAGAATATTATCACCTCTTGAAACAATAATTTAAATATTTTCTAGAAAACAGTAATTTATCATCTTTGCTACATTTTTATTAGTGAACAAGTTTTGAAATAACATAAAATCATATTATGTACGATATAAAATCTTTCAAAACATTTATACAAAACAATATACTATTATTGTTTTTTAGTGTACAAATAAAATTTTCATAGCATGTTTTTAGAAAGAAAGCAATAATAACTGCTCCTGTACAGTTCATAATGAAAAACTTTAACAAATACTGTATTGTACATTCAGTACAAAAGTAATTTTTTAATTTAATGTGAAAAATATTAATAGAATGCTAAAACTTTACAGATTCAAAAACTAATTATTAATTTTGTAAGTGCAAATTTATAAATATAATTTTTTAAAGAAATTCAGAATTCTACAGAGAAAATCAAAGTTTTAATAGTATCAGTTAAATTTGTATATGTTTAAATTTTTATTTAATAATTATTTTTAATGCCTATTATGAGGTTAAATAATCACAATTTGAAGATATTGAAAAAATAAAAAATGTTTGCACATTTTATTTATAAAACACAGTTTTATTAATCTCTCTTTTTAGTACATGTAATCTTCAAATTTAACAATAACATTGTGTTATAAAAACAATATCAAATAAATAAAACTATTATAAAAATTTCTTGTTTAATTCAGATCATAATCAATAAACATTCAGTTGGTATGTGGTCATTGTTAGATCCTTAAATAGTGCAGTCATACAAAAGTTATATCTGAAACTTCATCAGATATCTTTACTTGTTGTAATTAAGACATAATAATTTTATCCACAGCAACTTACAAATAAAGGAATTATTTTAAGTTAATTTTTTACACAGTAAAATAAATGTTGATAAAAATAGGCCAATTTATATATTTTTTTCTATTAGCAGATATGCCTCATCATTTACTTTATTAATATGCATTTTTTAAATTTAAATTATCATCAAATTCATTTATTGTAAAAATTAACTTTTTCATTTGAAAAAGCATTTATATATCTTTTCACATTCTTTTATTATACAGTAGTCCTGAAAACTCTGCACTCGATAACCCGGCAGTTTGGATAAATCAGCCACACCCTGGCAGGACAAAAAAACCTCTAGTTAATTTTCATTATAGACAGATTTATGTTTCATAAAGTATTTTCTGAGGTCTGTTTTATTAGGTAAATTACTGTACACTGTGTATGCATTAATTTTCATTTTCATGTAGTAATAGCTCTATGCCTTCATAAAGTACATACTTTTCCTTTGTTTAAGGGTATTTCGGCAGTTTATTCTCTGTTGTATTCTCAAGCAAACAATACGTACAAGTACAGAATAGTATTTTCTGAGGACTCCACACTTTTACTTATTCTTTTTTAACCCCATTCCCGATAACCCGCATTTTCACAAACTCGGCCACCCTTCGGTCCACATTAGGCCGAGTTTTCGGGACTCTACTGTACTACATGTCATAAAAATGTTACATTTTATCCTGTTAACTTGCAATTTTATAAAATTTTAATACTGTATATTTTTAAACTATCTATTATTATAATATATTTATGTGATGAATAATCTAAAATATTGTCATATTTTAGATGATTTTTGTCCACTTATTATTATACTCAATAAGTTTAAATAAAATGCTGATTAATAACCAGCATTTTTGTCAGTCATGTTATAAAATTTAAACATAAATTCAGATTACAGATGTAAATCTGTAATCTGAATTTATGTTTAAATTTTATGCATAATTTTTATATGTTGATATGGATATCCATGAATTGACATGCAAATACCTTTATCTGTGCAAGGCTCTAATTCTTAATTTAATATGAAAAATATATTTTCCTTTTTTTAATTTCAGTTATTGATCTTATTAACTTACTTTCCATAAATTTTAATAAGTATATTTCAATATATATTCAAAAATATAAATATATAATTATTTTTAAAAGATTCCTGGAAAAAATAAGGAAACAGAAATACTTTTGTCACTACCTCCAGATAGAATTGGCCATGGAACATTTTTACATGATTCTGAAAATGCAAAATCAAGAACAGAAAGTTTAAAAATACCTATAGGTAAATTTTTTTTTAATATGTCATTTGTCTTAAAAATTCATATTATGTTGTGTTTTAAGCAGTCTATTTCAAAGTTAATAGATAAGGAAATTAAATACACTTTAATAACCCAGTCCATCAATTACAGTAAAAAGAATTATATAGAATGTACTTTTAAGAATTCTTATTTTTGTCTCATAATTAAACAATTCTACAGAAAGATTACTGAATAATATTTTTATATGTTTATTTTGATTTAGAACTTCCAAATAACTGTTTTTCTTATGTTCATACAAAGATTTGTTTTACATTTTAATTTCTATATTTTAAATCCCAATCAAACAATATAGCTACAGCTTTGGAATAGACTTTTTGATATCAATGATAATATAAAATTTTTTATTTAAAGTATTTGGTAAGACCTTATTTTATTTCCTGTTTTTATAAAAATTCATATAAATGAAAATTTTAAAAAAAATAGCAAAAAGTTAAAAAGATGATGAAAGACAAAAACAAAAGCATAAATGCAATATGTTGGCATTATAATATTGCAATTGTTAACAAATCTGACAATATTTTAGTGAAAAAACAAGTACTTATTGTATTTTGATGATCTGGAAATCATGTTTATATTTTGTGGCATTGTAGATAATTACAAAACATTTTCTTTTAGTCCAACTGCTCTTGGTTTCCCAATATCTTCTACCAGATGGCTAAAGTAATTAATATCTTAATTACTTTAGCCATCTGGCCAGCGCATCTATTACTTTCATATCTCTCTCATTTCTATTGTAAAAAAAATATTTTTCTAAAACATTAGTTTTTTCATTTATTGATTCCTGATTAGATAATTTTTTATTCTTTCTTTTTCTGTTTCTCTTCAAATTTTGTTGATATATACTGCACAATACATCTTTAAAGCTAAACTTTCATATTTATTGGGCTGAAATTTGAAAAAATTGTAGACCTATAAATATCCACTGTTGTCTATTTGTCTGTCTGTCTTTCCTTAATCTCGAGAACGGAGTTAGGTATATGAAAGCTGAGACCGTATATGGAAACCTTGGGGGCAAGAGGTTCCGTTTAACTATATATGAACTTCCTGTACAAACTGGAAGTCACGTTATCTTGATTCAAAATTTTCCCTTGAAAAGAGTTACATAGATGATCAGCACGACTCTTTTGTTAAGAGGAAAAGTATGATTTACAGGGACAAGGCACTACTAATTTGAGGTAGAGAGCATATAGTTTAAATTAAATAAATTAAAAATATGATTAAAAATTGTATTGTGACAATATAACAATAAAAAATAATTTCTCATCAAAAAAATATTTTTTTTATCTGCTGTAAAGAGAGGTAATCCATTAAACATGCAGTCTTATATATTTTTTTTGTTTCTTGAAGTATTAAATTCCATTCAGATAGCAAATCAATTTTAAATGTTGCTGTGATTTTATCATTTGATGCTATATCTTTTAATAATTAATATGCTGTACTTCTGATATCTGTTGATGTAATTCCTTAACTGCATTTGCTCTTGATGTTTATGATGTATGACTTTTTAATGTTTTTAAAACAGACATGAGTATGAACTCTGGAAACTCATCAAATTTACAAAAAATGTATAGATTCTTTGTACAATTCTAAAAAAGTTATCATGTTTGAATTACTGTATTAGAAACAGCATTTTTAATACTAAATTAAGACTGTGAACTAAACAAGGAATGTATTTGTTTTGATTATTTGGCAAATTATGTCCTTAAATTCTGCCATATTTATCCCATTATCATAACCTTGACCTTGAATATTTTGAATATTGAAGCCACCTTTTTCTAATTTAGAAACAATTTAGTTGGCTAAACTACTACCAATATTTTTATTTTTTTTCTATAAAGTTTCTAATTAATTTCTTATTTTTTGAAGATAGTTTGGCACTCCTTCTAGTTACTTACCTAAGCTCACTTCACACTTGTCCCAGCCTTGATACTATATATATGTGGTCTCCTATTGATATATCCACGTCGTCTTTTTGGAAGTTTGAAATAACCAATCTAGGTTTGGTCTGGATAGGATCCTTAGAAATTTTTCATAGTCAGTCTGCCATGGATATGCCAGGTCCCCATCACCTGTTTTCCCTGTTGTGGGCCTGACTGAACTCATAATGGGTTTGATTAAAAACACTATTTTAGTGCCTTCAGGACAAAGAGTTAAAAAGCAGACAAAAATTTCTGATATTTGATAAATATTTCTAGAAGCTTCTACAGTGGATCCCTATAGACAAGAGAATACTTTTCCTTGGACTGAAGTATATCATAAATCTCTGTTCTCTGCTCTATAGCTTAACTCTCAGTTTGCTAATATACAACAGACAATGTTTGAAAGATGTCTGTTCTTTTCTTTATAACTTTAGTTGTGTTTTCCATATTGCAAAGATAATTTTAATATGAAAAATTTATACTAAAGTGAAAATATGAATAATATAGGTAAGTTTTCAAACTTAATTTTTTTTAATTATAATTCAAAATAATATAATGTATGCTTGGTTACAATTTATTCTTTTATTATATTTGCATTTTCTAATAATTTTAGGATTTAAAACATTGCAAATTTTACTAATTGTATGATATATGTAAATTTTAATTCTAAATTACAGAGATGTGTTTAACCTCCAACCTTATATCTGGAACAGTGAAATCATATGAAGATCATCATTTTAAATTATGGTTTGAAAAAAATCACCCCTGCATAATTTGTGTAAGTTTATCTGTATATGTTTATAAAGAATTTAATTATGAATATAATTAAAGTACCCTTATTCCATGAAGTCTAGAAAGATATTTAGCAATTTAAATGCAACAAAATTTGGTATGGGGACATTTCAGGAAATGAAAGATATTTTCATAAAATAAAAAAATATCAAAACTCACATTACGGCACTTTTGGTGTCAAAAGCAACAAAAATTTATCTTAGTTCTGTATGATTTTTAATAGTTTTAATGAATGAACTACATTTCTTAAATGTAGTTCATTCATTGCCTTCATATTTTATCATCAGTTGGTTTTCTCTGCCTTTCTTAAATCTCTGTATAGAATGGGTGTCATACAAATAAAACGTTTAATGGTTGCAATGCTGAAAGTGTCATAGTGGCAAGTTTTGGTAGTACAAGTTGTTTTACAGAAATGTCTTTTGCATATCTTGAAACATTATTCATATTAATGCATATTTAGCAGTCCAAATGCAACGATTTGGTTTCATTTCGACTGCTAAATATATCTCCAGACAGCATTAAAATAAGCACTTTAATTATGATCAGTATTTTCATTTCATCTGAGTAAATTAATGAAATATAAAATATCAGGCATATACTGAAATCAAATACAACATATTTTCACAATCATCTGACTATCCTAATATAAAAGTTATTAATAATTAACTCTCAACTAAATATTATAAAAATATATTTAAACTAGAGCTTTAAATCTGTGAAAATTATTGTTTCAATAAACTTAATTAAGGAGGGCCCTGCTAAGAATGAATAGTTATTTTATACTAATAACAAAGCATTAACTATATTTTTTATGTATATATTATTTCAGTATGATGATTGTAGCATGTTTTCACAGCCACAAATTCATTAGATTATATAATAACTTACGTATATCAATGTTGGCAGATATTTATCAACTGAATCTTGTAGAAAGTGTAATACATTAAAACATTTTTTAAAGTTCTCATTTATGCTTCTGCATAGATCTATACTGTGGATTATATTTGTGAATTTCAAGGGGGAAGATTGATCTATGAATCATTTACTAATTGAAAAACTCTGGTCTAATTTTATATATGTAAAAATTTATTATTAATTTTATTATTAGTTGTTGAAATCATTTTACTTTACATTTTTAGACTGATGATAAAGGAATATTTGGGACTTCTTTATCACGTGAATATTACATAACTGCAGAAAAGTTTTTGCTTTCTGAAGATGATGTATGGAATTTATCATACCATAGCATTGACTACATTTTTGCAGACTTTGATATGAAAGAAACATTAAAAAATTCATGGATTAAAGAGAAAGATAAAGTATTTAAAGCAATTAAATAATAATATGTATATGTATATATGTAATAACAATTTTAATTTGTACAAATAAACTAATTTTTTTAAGTTTAGTTACAACTTACAGTAGTTTTTGCACAAATGTTCTTTTGTCTTGTCTTCTCTCTTTTCATTCCTTTTCTTTTTCTTGTCTTTTGTCACGTGTTCAACTTCATGCTCCTTTTGCACAGCAAAGTTTTGGGTAATAATGGGATTCTTATTTCCTAAACACCTTACATTCCCCCACCTTATAGAGCCATTAAGAAGGTAATATTTTCTCAATACATGAATAAACATTCGTAGTTTTAACTTTTGAGGATCTACTAATTTCTTAGATACTTCGAGTAATTTTCGTTTTATTTTATAAGGTCCAATAAGGATCGGGTCAACTTTTTGTGTATTGTGTTTTTTTTTCTAGCCACACTATTCTTACCGAAAAATTTTGATAAGTTGATTGCAATGGGAATATTCAAAATCTCAGCGAGCAGCCAGCACCTCTCAGCACCTCTGTTCAAAATCTCAGATGACTTTCGGTTGCTGCCAGCGTGCTTCCACTATTGGCGTGCCGTCATTGGAAGCGGTGGAAGCGCCGCTTCCCTTGTATTTTTTAAAAAATTAAATACATATTGCGCGATTATTTTCATATTTTAACGTATTTTGGATTAATTAAAATTAATATTTTATTATAACCGATTTCGTATGTCCCATCTATAAGAGGATGTAGAAAAAAACGTGTATAATTCTATACAACAGACAATGTTTGAAAGATGTCTGTTCTTTTCTTTATAACTTTAGTTGTGTTTTCCATATTGCAAAGATAATTTTAATATGAAAAATTTANACTTCAGAAGTTAATTTAGTATCAAAAACGTTAAATATTTGAGTAGCCCAAGACATAGCCAAAGATTGCAGCGCCACAGCACTGGCAAAAATTTAAATTTGCCGACTGGAATTCTTTCGGATGATTGACTTTCGGATAATCGACGCTCTACTGTATATGTATTTTTATTGATACACGCACATAATTACAACTTTGTTGTATTTTCTCACGTCATATAGCTATCAAGAAATTGCGATAGTGATATATTTAATGATGGAAACCTATAATTTTGTTTACTTTATACAGTTAAATGTGAAAACGATATCTAAAGTTAGTTCGCCAGTTTCAGAAAGTTCGGGATTATCGTTTTATTATTTGGAGAAGATAGAAGAATTGCAGGTACAAAATATAATTAACGATATATCACACTTTATTATAACTAATTTTATAATATATTGAACGTAATGTATTAATATATAGGTCCATTAATGATTTTTTTAAACCTGTATTCCATATAACTAATTCTTTCTTCAATTATTTATAAGATATATATATTAGATGTAATAAAGACAGAAATTTTTCCAGTTCAACGATAGTGACTGAAAAGTAAATTTTGGAAATTTCCGTGGACAACACCTGGTCCTAAAACGAATTAGTTAGAAAACAAACGACGGACGATCTATTAAGTTTAACATATTTAGATTTTTACAGCTATTGTAAGAAAGGTTTAAAATTTACGACAACTCTGTCGCGTCCTTTGAAGTATACTAGTGATGGACAAAAGAGGCATTTGACATTGGCCAATATCGTCACACACAGCTACCCTATCGTCAAATGTCACGGCACGCCACTGGCTTCCACAAATTGCAAGTGCCTTTTTCGGTGCTCAATACACTAGCAAACAAGATGGCGGCTAACACGAGGCTCGTAGACGAATAGAAACGGTCAGTTTTGTTATTTTTTGGACAAAATTGAATTCAGTTAGGTACGGCTGCAAATAGTTGGAAATACAGAGAACTATTTTTGGATTATTACTACAAAAAACAACATTGAATTCAATTGGAATTGTGAGGAAAATTTATCACAATAGTAATGATGGGATTACCAGAAATTCTACAAAATCATTAGGTAACTGAATCAGTGGATAGAAAGTAAAGAACTCCGAGAGACACTAGAACAAATGAACAAATTAAATATTTCCAATGAAGTATTGGAACAGTAGTGGTTATGATGGGTGAGTGAACTGAGACTACCAGTGAAAAGAAGGCCAAATTATAACAGCGAGACATCAACAGAAGCTAAAACTGGTTCAAGCAATCACTGAATATCCCTCTCAAGGTATGTTTATTTTTGCTAATCATTCAGATTCCAATGAGTATAGCAAAATATTTACTTTTAAGTACATTATGGACAAATGACAAGAAGGAAGAAACTATTAATTTCAATAACTAATGCCGTCCCTCATATGCTGAAAGATGGATATGTTTTCAACGTTCTTTATCGGACTATGATTTATATCACATGTCTTGCACATGGACTCCACCGAGTTGCAGAGGAGGTTAGAGAAGAATTTCTTGAGGCCGACAAACTAATTGTCACGACTAAAAAAACGTTCTCTAAAGCACCATCAGAGTACAGATATACAAAGAGTGTAATCCTGATTTATCTTTACCTATTAATGTTATTATTATTTTTTTAATTTTCTAACATTTGACATATTCGAGATACGTTTTCTATATGTAATTAGTATGTAATAGTCACGAATATTGTTACGGAACATTTCTATTAAATAACAATTCAGAATATTCTTAATTATTTTTTTTAATCGTATATTTTTATTCTTACAATTGTCATTTAGATAAATATTTTATTCGTTGAAAATTTGGAAGAAGATGGATATTTCAGTTATGAACAGAAGACAAATGACGAAATATCTCGTAAATTTGACACGTATCATGAAAAAAATAAATGAAATTGTAAGCATTAATATAAATATTTATGAAAAATGATTAATATAATTTATATAATTTACGTCGGGAATACATGCATTTAATTATTTTTTTATTTTTCAACAAGTTGCGAGCAGCACTTATTTTATTAACATAGCAATGATACTGTAGTTATAAAATTATACGATTATTAACATGTTATTTGTTAACACGAGCAATTATATATTATGACATCAATCACAATGCCAGTCTGCAATTTTTAATTTATTTAATTTAAAATACCGTATATGCTCTCCATCTCAAATTAGTAGTGGCTTGCCCCTGTACTTCATACTTTCCCTCTAACAATAGAGTCGTGCCGGTCATCTATTAACTGCTTTCAGCGGAAAATTTTTGAATTGAAATAACGTGGCTTGCGTAGGAACTTTATATAGAGTTAATTGGGTTCTCCTTCCCCAAGATTTCCATATTTAATCTCGGCTTTCATCTGTCCACTCCATTTTTCGGATTAAGGAAAGAGGGACGGACGACAGTGGGAATTTATAGGTGTACAATTTTTTCAAACTGTTATACAGTAGAGCGTCGATTATCCGAATTAATTAGGGACTGGGGTTGTTCGAAAGATCGATGTTTCGGATAACCGATTATGCGCAAAAAAATATATTAATTTATCCCATCTTGACATTTTTCTCCGCTGCATGTCGCTTCGCGTTGAATTTTCGTCGATGTTAAGCCTAACGAAGACTATTGTATCGTTAAAAATTATTTTCTTTATTTTTTACAAACAAAATAAATATATTGAAAAATATAAAAACAATAAAAAATTATACTTCAGAAGTTAATTTAGTATCAAAAACGTTAAATATTTGAGTAGCCCAAGACATAGCCAAAGATTGCAGCGCCACAGCACTGGCAAAAATTTAAATTTGCCGACTGGAATTCTTTCGGATGATTGACTTTCGGATAATCGACGCTCTACTGTATATGTATTTTTATTGATACACGCACATAATTACAACTTTGTTGTATTTTCTCACGTCATATAGCTATCAAGAAATTGCGATAGTGATATATTTAATGATGGAAACCTATAATTTTGTTTACTTTATACAGTTAAATGTGAAAACGATATCTAAAGTTAGTTCGCCAGTTTCAGAAAGTTCGGGATTATCGTTTTATTATTTGGAGAAGATAGAAGAATTGCAGGTACAAAATATAATTAACGATATATCACACTTTATTATAACTAATTTTATAATATATTGAACGTAATGTATTAATATATAGGTCCATTAATGATTTTTTTAAACCTGTATTCCATATAACTAATTCTTTCTTCAATTATTTATAAGATATATATATATTTTTTTCACTAATAAAGGTGTTTTTTTCTAATAAACATGATTAGTAATGATGACATTCTTATTATGTTTTAGATGAAAATTAAAGAAAAAAGATACAATATAAGAAGATTACAGTTCGAAAGAAATGATCTTAATATGAAAGGTATAATACAAAATGGAATAAATATTAGAAAAAATTAGTTTGAATATAATTTTTTAATTAATAAAATTAGCAATTTCTAAGAAATTTATACACAAATGATATAATAAATATTAATAAAAAGATTGGAAAATTTTTCTCATAATGACTGCTTTATTATTTAATCTGTTTTTTTAAGAATGTCCAATTAATTATATCACTGTATTTATATAAATTATAAATTTTTATTAAAACCAAATTAACATTGCAGTTCGACAATTACGCGAAGAATTAAAATCGATTTTACAAGAATGTTCTTACGTAGCGGATGTAATCAAAATCTTAAATTCAGATACAGCTATAGTCAAAGTAACTATACAATTGTATTTTATTTATACATACAATAATAATTACTAAATATTAAAAAAATAAAGTTATAAACGTACAGTCGACCCCCCTCTATAACACTGTTGATTATTTTGTTTTATATGAATTCCATGTTGTATGAGTCAGTCAGATTTTACAAATACATGAGCTGTTCACAGCCCGGTACACGTATTTGTAAAATCTAAGTGACTCGTACAACATGGAATTCATATAAAATGGAATAATCAACAGTGTTATAGGGGGGGTCGACTGTAATTGTTATTTTTATAAAATTATTCTAGATAAAAGGAGAAGGAGAATTACACGTTGAAATCGATGACAGTGTTGACTATCTAAAAGTTGTCCCAAACAGTCGTGTGGCCATTAGAAGTAAGGACTTTAAAATATACAAGACTTTTCCAAAAGAAGTAATTTCAATTTTTGAATTGAAGTTAGAATAATCAATATTGTAAAAAAATTCAAATTTTAATATTTTAACGAACTTTTGTTAAAAGGCGGTCTTGTTCTTGGATACAAATGATGATTATTTAAAACTTATTTTACGTATGTAAAATTTAAACAATATATTAATCAAGTATATTTTCATCCAAATTATTCCAGTTAAGTGTTATTTTTCTTGTTGATGGAACTGAACTTAACACAATAACTTTGGCCACTTCCAGATGTTGATGCCAATCGATTTGAATGGATTGGTAAATTGGCAATCTGCAAGAAGGACTTTTTATGGGATAATGGCTCTTATTTATCTGTTAGACACTTAAAAAAAAAACCCCGAAAAACTCCTCTTGACCAGCCAATTGGCGAGATGCAAACCCGAGATTTTACAATGGTCCCCAACTAATTTTAGAATTATAGTACTAAAAGTCACGAGTGAATTCAATGGCTTGATATCAACAGTCTGTATTGCTATTCTTCATAGTGTTTACGCTAGTGTTTTAGTCACGTTCCTGAGTTTTAATTTTAGTACTGAAACTACATTTGAGTGACTAAAAAACAGATTTTAGTTTTAGTAATTTAACCTAAACTAGTTTATTTTTAGTATAATAAATTTGAACTAATAAGAATTTTGAGAATTTTGTATATAAGATTCAATATACAAAACGAATTCTACCGCTTCAAAAATTATTTTAATGGACTTCCATTGAAATAAGCTCAAATTTTGCTCTTTATATATAAAATTAATTTCAGGTAGATCCCGCGATCAATCTAATGAAAATCGACAGAATTCCAGATACAACATTCGATATGATTGGTGGCTTACAAAATGAAATAAGAGAAATAAAAGAAGTGATCGAGTTACCTATCAAACATCCTGAATTATTCGAGAGTTTAGGAATCGATCAACCTAAAGTATATTTAACGATAATAATACAAGCATCAATACTTAATGTCATAGTGATTGATCCTCTCCTGAACATTAGAAGACCGACATCTTATTGATATATCCCATTATTTTAAATGAGAGAAATTATAATAGGTTACAACGTTAATCCAAAATTTCCAATTAATTTTCGTAAACATAACTAAAATACAGTAAATGTTTATAACGAACTATTATATTAGGAAATAAAATGCTTAAAATATCGCTTTATGATCAATCACCAGTTAATAGGATTGTTACAAAGCAGCAGCTTTGTATGTACTAACATGTATAATCTGCATGCTTTACTGTAAACTTTTGATAGGAACAACAATAAAGAAATTTAAGAAATGCATGTAAAAATTTACAATAAAAATACAAGGAATAAACTGCGATACGTTTTCGGATGGCCGAGTGGCTATGGTGCCAACCTGCCGCTCTGGAGGACCCGGGATCGAATTTGTACGGATTGGAAATTCCCAGGAATTTTTCGGGTGGGACCATATGTCGAGCCAAGATGTCGACCTCATCGTCTGGTAGAATACCATAATGGGCTTGATAAAAATGCCTTCTTAGTGCCCACAGGGCGGAAAAGAGTTTTTTAAAATACATTCTTAACGATGCCTCTGAAGCTTCCGTAAATTCAATGATTGATTGACTACAGTTAGTGATGTCATAAAATAACACTAGGACATTCTGTTGTAGAAAATGTAGGTATAATACGACGTTATAATGCCTCTTCTGCGCCAGTTATATTCAAGACTCACTCTTTCTGGATACACCAGCTTTATTCAAAATTTTACACATGATTCTATTGTTTTAACCATTTGTATTTAGACTTTTCCTCTACTCCAAAAACTTCAATAAAACGTTTTCTTATATAAAATCGGCCGAAAACATTGTATCGAGAGTTACATACGTTCTATTAAAGCATTAAAAACCAGAAAACATTGTATCGAGACGTTAAGCAAGGATGCTTGTACTTTAATATTTAACTTAAAACTTTAAATTATAAACGAAAATTCATTCATTTCAATTTTGTATAAAGGGAGTGTTACTTTATGGCCCACCAGGAACTGGAAAAACTCTACTGGCAAGAGCGGTAGCTCACCACACCGACTGTACATTTGTACGCGTGTCGGGATCGGAATTTGTACAAAAGTATATAGGAGAAGGGACGAGACTAATGAAAGAATTATTCGATATGGCAAAGTATGTGTTAGTGAAATTTCAGTTTCTGTTTATATTTATTATATTTTATTATGTTTTAATTATTACAAATAATCTTAATATTATTTTGCATCAAACTCATTATTAAATTAATGTAGAGAACACGCTCCGTGCATCATTTTTATAGACGAAGTTGATTCCATAGGATCTTCACGTTTCGACAAAGCGAGAAGCGATAGCGAAGTTCAAAGGACTTTATTGGAATTATTCAGTCAATTGGATGGATTCGACTCGAATAGAAACATTAAAGTAAATTTTTAAAATGTTTTTTTTTCAAATAGAAAATATATTAGATCTTTTTTGTATTTTGATATAAATAAATTTCTAAAATACAGATAATAATGGCTACTAACAGAATTGACGTTCTCGATAAAGCACTAATTAGATCTGGAAGAATTGATAAAAAAATTGAATTTCGTTCACCAAACGAAGAAGTGAGTAGATAATTAATTAAACTTGACAATATTTATAATGTCAATATCATGCTGAAAAGTAATTTTTCTCTTATTAAATCAATATTATCATTAATTTATACATAAATATTGTTTAAAAAACATATTATATGATCTTATAATAGACAATTCATTTCGTTATTTATAAGACCATATAATATTTTTCAACGATATTTATTGTATAAATTAGTGATAATATTAATTTAATAAGAGAAAAACTTTGAAAATTATTTAAAAAGAGAATAAATAAAGGAAATATTTAAAAAGGTAACGAAAGAAATGAAAAATATTGTTATAATTAAAAAAAAAAAAAAAAAACAAATCGTTTGCTGTATTCTCTTCATAAAAATACTCCTCTTCATATTATATAAATAACATATAGTGGGATGTTTTTAGATTATATATACGAGTATTTACGAGAGAAACTTAATTAACTTTCTAAAATTAATTTAAATTTAATCTTTTTCAAGGCACGAATGAATATTCTCAAGATACATTCTCATCAAATGAACCTCTACAGAGGTATAAACTTTCGAAGAATATCAGAGATGATGGAAGGAGCATCGGGAGCAGAAATTAAAGCTGTATGCACCGAAGCTGGAATGTTTGCTCTACGAGAAAATAGAATTTACGTAACTCAAAACGATTTCGAAATGGCTGTTACTTACGTAAATTTTAATAATAATTTAAATAATTTCTTTAAAGTAATCGTCGGTAAAAAAAATTTATTTATTTTTGTTTTTAGGTAATGAAAAAATCTATAATCAAAGATCCTTCTTTGAATAAACAATGGACTTAAAAGATTCGTTCGTAGAAAATTATATATTATTCATTTAATTGTAAAAAGTAAATTGAAAACGTTAAATTCAACTTTTACATTTGGATAAAATAACTAAATTACCTTAATAAACGCGAAGTTACTTATAAATCTGTATCTGTGAAAGTCTCTGTGTCCTTCAACACTATATCCATACGGTTCTATCCTCTCGCGTTATTCTGACGAAAGTGAGAACGGGGATCAACCCTGTTTCTGTAAAATAGGGAGTCTACATTGCACGAAGAAGTCGATAGATTAATACACAGTCTAGAAGACTTACATCTATTTAAACAAAATCGATATATATAAATGAGGAAGTTTGTTTGTTCGCTATACACTCCTAGGCCATTCGATCAATTGCTAAGAAACTCGGAAGTTACGTTCAAATAATTCTAACTTGGATAATGTAGTAAATTTCACCTCAAATTATCGATTAGATTTCTATATATCGATTAATTTCTGTCGACATTTCATTTTTGGCTTTACACATAAGGAAAAAATTTAACAAAATAATTAATTTAACTAATATAATTCATACAAAAAAAAGGTATAATTTTTTTAAAAATATATTATAATCACTGAATTACCGCGACAATGATATAGCGCGAAATAGACGTGACATTACGCCATTACTGTGACAAGTAGCATATAACACTAGTAGTGTTTTGCCCCTGTACATCATACTTTTCCTGTTAGCAATAGAGTCGTGCCGGTTATGTATCTAACTCCGTTTGGGGGAAAATTTTTGAATTGAAATAATGTGACTTGGGTTACAAATCGGAATTTCATATATAGTTAATCTGGTTTTCTTTCTCTTACGGTTTCCTTCTTCGATTTTCATCTATCTAAATCCGTTCTCGAAATTAAAGAAGGACAGAGACGACAGTGGAAATTTGTTTTATAAACGTGATATTTACGAGGATATGTTTAACTACCAGGAAACCTGGACATCCCACCCCTCTTCTGATTTCATCTCCCCTTAATAACTCATAAACCCATTGCCCTAAACTTCTTTCACTGAGTTGAAGTAATAAGTTTCATAACACTGAAAATAATACAAACTTTACCTATGCGTATACTATTTATGTAATATTAAATAAAATAGAAATAAGTTACATAAAATACAAGGAGTGATCATTAAAGGAAGAAGCCATAATAAATTAAGAGTTCTGATTGTGTGTGTATATATAATGGCTATTTTGGCCATTCGTTGTCTCTTCCATCATTAAAGATAACCTTTTTTTATTATTAAATAACTGTTGTTTTTATTATTAGGATTACTTTTATTATTTCTTTAACGTGGCCAGTTGTTGTACAAAAAAATACAGTATTTGTTGAAATTCAAGCTAAGAAATTGTCTTATTTTAAATTTTGTCTCGTTAAAATATACTAACTGTTTTTTTAATGTTGTTATGGTTTAATTTTTTAATAAATGAATACTATTAAGTATTTGGAGAAACTGTTCTTACAAACATTTACATTCAAGAGCATTAAAATCCCTCTTTACACAAGGTCTACTTTCTTATAGCGATGAATTAATATAGTGTACTTTACTTTTAACATAGCAAAAGTATTGTTTAATTATACTCGACATAATCACGACAAAAATTGTTGCATATGAATAAGAAATATTTTAATCATAAGATATCTTTAACAATACAGATAAAACGAATTCATTCTCATAAATGGAGGAGATGAATGGTTGTCTGCAACTATTGTATTGTACTTGAAATTGCGTACACAACTTTACCTTTATGTGAAAATTACATGTACGTATTTTTCCCTGTGGGTATTTTCGATATGATTAATTTTCTTTGCGCGGATTTTTCCTGTGTACATATATGACAATGGATTTTTTCTGTGAGCAATTTCCACGTGGGCTTTTGTCACGTAAACTTCTTACATACAACCGGTTGAAAATGTGAAATGTTTTGCCTTTTGGTATGAGAAAACAGACCTGAAAGTTTGATAACGTTACACGAATGTGTTTGTCGTACATTCTATTTGCCGTTAAGTGTTCCAAAACATCATTTATCCCACAATCAGGGCTAACGCCAAGCGGGTTCAGCGCATTCCCTGGAACAGGGTCCTCGTAGTTCACAAAAAACTCATCGTAAATTTTCAGGATCTATGTTTTCTGCAGTGTCCTAGGCTCAGTACATAAGCGTATAATAAATTCAATTGCAGTATATGTGGTTAAAAAAATAATTTAATTTACACTAAACTAATTTACAAGTGTATGCAATATATTACAGTAGACTAGTGTCATAAATTATCGAAGGATCATTTTAATATTAAGGATATATTCGAAGCTTACTGTATCTTTATAATTGAAGGTAATTACTGTAAAATAAGGCGTATTAAATTAATAAACAATTACAAAACGAAAAAAAAATATTTATAGTAATTTAAACCAAGAAGAGGGGGGAAAAACTGAAGAAAAAAACAATGACTTTTAATTAAATAATGAATTATGAGATAATAAATAAAATTATTTTAACAAATAGTTTATAAATCAAAATTTGTTTTTAACATCATTTATTTAATAATTATTTAAAATTATAATCGGAAGATTTAAATGTATTTTGAACGAATAATTAATTACTAAATATAATTTATATGATAATATCTTTATTAATGTTTCGTATTGTAATTAGTTATGCAAATATAAAATGTCTGGTCAGAAGACAAACAAAGGTCACATTGATAGATTAGACAATGGTTAGGACACAAACGTCCTTCTTTGATAATGAAAAAAAAGAAAAGCGAAAGGTCAACGAGGTAGTGACTTTAGTAAAAGTTCAACAAATTCTCAAACGACATACAATAAATATAGGGGACTCCCGGATATAGTGAATTCCAAAGAGATTTTCACATTAGCCACAGGCAAATATCTTAAGATGGATGCTTTCTTGACAAAAATCATTTTTATTTCTTTATCTTCTTATTAATACATTTTTCAAAAATGAAATTAATTATTTCAAGACTTCCATTAAACAAATTAATATATTAAATTTTTCTTTTGTGTGTGTGTGTGTTTTAAGTGTTACAACTATTATTTTATGAATTCAAAACTGAGTAATTCAGGTGTAATGCTAATATAATACACATTTTCCAAAGGGTTGATTACTACATATCAATTTTGTCAGTTAAAATTATTTAGAGGTATTTTTCATACTGTAATAATATCAAGCAAATATTATAAAAGAAATCATTATACTTTAATTTTTAGAAATGATATTAATTTAATTTAAATATGAATATAAAATTCGAAAATATAATAAAATTTTGAATACAGATAAAATATACGAAACGAATCAAAACGAATCACTCCTTGTGATGTGACAGTGAATCGATGACGTCACTAAAACAATACCTTTTTTTCACCAATCCAAGATGTGTATGGATCACTATAATAATGATACAACGTTTCGATGTTATTATTTTACCTTCCTAACCGAAGCCATGTCGTGTGCGAAATTTTCTATATGGTTTCTATGTATATTATTTCATTCCCATTATAGTTATGGAAGACATTTTACTAATGATTGGGCTGTACAATTAAACGGTGGAGACGATATGGCCAAACAATTGGCTGACGAAATGGGCTATTATAATTTGGGGCAGGTGAGTATAAAAGTTTTAATATAAATTATTTTTCTTATAAATGATTTAGTGTTTGTATTTAAATACCTAACGATTGACAATAGGGAATTTTATTATATCTAAACATCTGTTACGAAATAACTATTATATTTTTAGTTTCAAAAATATGTAAGATGATTTTGTATTTTTTTTAAAAATATATATAAATACAGATACGAGGTTTTCCCAATGTATATTTACTAAGAAAAAAAGAGCATCCATCGAGATCGAAGAGAGAAGCTAAACAATTAAATAAAATACTAAATGAGGATCCACGGGTGAGGTATATTTTTCGTACTAATAATAATTTAAAATATTATAAATAAATTTCTTTTTTTTTAATTAAATAATATATAGCCTAATATTTACTTCATAGAAACAATAAATTTTTACTGAATGTGTCAATGTAATGGAAAATAACACTCTCTCACCCTTATTAAAATCTCATAGCAAGGTCTTTAGGTTATGTTAACCTATTTAGGACCTATATAAAATTTTACGTATTTAGATTGATGCCCACATGTTTATTTATATTATATAATCGAAAATAAGAACAAATAAGTACGAATTTAGGCCATAGATGTTTATGGAATATCTATTGTAATTAAATTGATTATCATTTTGTTTTTTTTAAAACAAAAATGTATGGAAATTTAATTAGGTTACGGTTTAATTAGCTAACTAATCATCATTATTATTATTTTTTTAAAAACTCAACGTATTTAAAATAAATAATATTTATTATTAAAATTTTTAATTATCTTGAAATATTATCGTTTTAGGTTCTATGGGCCGAACAACAGGAAATTAGAGTACGAGATAAACGTAATTTACGTTTGGTCGGTCGCAATGGTGACTTTTATGTTAATCGTTTTAATGATCAACTATGGCCTAAAGAGTGGTATTTGGTAAGAGTAATAAAATACTATAATTATATATTTGAAATAAAAAAAATTTCTTATCACTCTAATGAGTAATTCGTAAGTCACCGGCCATAGAAGATTGTATGGAGAATCATCGGGAGATTGTAGACAAAGTAGACTATCAGGGACAAGTGTATACTGTACTGGTTATATGATGCATCATTTCGGGTCTATAATACTGTCAAACGGAAATTTAAATGCACAAATTCCACGTGTGGTCATCTAACGTAGCTGCATAGTTTTGTAACTAATTGCAGAACTACGTAGCTGGACCTATACTACAAATAATACAAATGACCTTAACCAGTTTCTCGTCTCTTCTTTCACTCTTTGTCTTCTGAATAACAGTAGCTAAAGCTGCACAACTCGCCGAGCTAGTGCTTCAATAAAAGCGAAACATCCAGAGATTCCATGCATACCAAGCAGACAAAGACACATGACAAAAAAAAAACAGGCACGAAGACACAAAAACGACTCTTCGGATCACACATAAATGACCAACACAACCATAGATGATACTTCTCATATATATATCTGCATAATTGATGCAATTATGTAACCGTTACCATCTAGTAAATTATGTGCCACACTTAAGCTACCATCTAGTAAATTATGTGCCACACTTAAGCTACCATCTAGTAAATTATGTGCCACACTTAACGTATTATTAATTATTTTATCACTTAAAACTTTATAAATTTTCTTTAGCACAATTCTCGAAGCGAGAATGAAATAACAAGGAGTATGAATGTCATTCCAGTATGGGATATGGGATATACAGGAAGAGGAGTTGTTCTGTCTGTAATGGACGATGGTATGAAAATTATTTTTATTTAATTTTTTTTAATCTGGTGTATACATTAAAAAGATTCTAAATATTTTTATAGGACTTGAATGGAATCATACAGATTTAATTCGGAATTATGTAAATATATCATTTTAATAAATATTTTTGAATTTTTTTTCAAGTCTATTTTATAATTTATTATTTTAAAAAAATTATATTCCAGGATTCCAGGGCGAGTTGGGATAGTAACGATAATGATCCCGATCCTTTTCCTCGATACGACGATGTGGATTCAAATAAGTAAATTTTTAATTTATTAACAAAATTTGGGTAAATATTTAATTTATTAACAAATATTTTTTAGACACGGAACTCGATGTGCTGGTGTGATTGCCATGATCGAAAATAATTTAAAATGTGGAGTGGGTATTGCTTATAATTCGAAAATTGGAGGTATGATTGCATTAAACTTGGATAAGCACACCAGACAAAAATTTAGTCAGTAGGTAGGCTATTAGAGAATGGTACCGTTGCATAGAAAGTACCATGTGAGAATTATTAGGTGATTAATTAGGAGCAACGTGAGTGTTCAATCGAGTCTGCAATATGGGTCTCGCGATAGACGTTAGTGAGTAACAGAAAGGAGTCATCATGTTTGGCCGTATACATGGACACAAAATGAATGAAGTCGCCCAATTTGTTGGTGTGTCGAAGCGTAGTGCCAGTGCGCTTATAAAGAGTGGTGTAATTCTCAGTTGAAAATCATCCTATGATGCAAGAGATACCGTCCTTCATTATGGGTGTTTTGAAAGGGGTGCTAATTTTTTGTCCGTTGTGCTTACTATAATCGTGATACCAACTTCTTAATAAAACGCAAAATTAATATGAAATTTGCATTCATATATTATTTATTTCTGAAGCGATTCGTATGTTGGATGGACCCATCACAGATGTCATCGAAGGGTTATCGATAGCCTTTAATATAGATTATATAGATATTTTCACTGCATCTTGGGGTCCAACCGATGATGGAAAAACCGTAGATGGACCTAAAACTTTGGCATCGAAAGCATTAGAGAAAGGAGCCATTATAGTAAATACAATCAAATTATTCTCGAATTCTAATATAAAATAATTGTATACTGATTGATAAGTTCATAAAGTAATTAGCGATTGATTTAAAGGGAAGAAATGGGAGAGGTGTTATCTACATTTGGGCATCCGGAAATGGTGGTTTTTTCGACAATTGTAACTGCGATGGTTATGTTAGTTCCATCTACACTCTTTCAATCGGAAGTGTCAGTTATGCCGGGAAACGTCTCTTCTATTCCGAAAAGTGCTCTTCAACTATAGCTACGACCTATTCGAGTGGATATATAGGCAAGAATAAAATAGTACGTTTCTTATAAATCTATATAAAATAATACGATTCGAAATGACTGATTCAACTATTATTCTAGTGTGCTACAGATTTACACGATAAATGCACTAATCAGCATTCTGGAACATCGGCCTCGGCTCCTATGGCTGCTGGAATTATTGCATTGGTGTTAGAAGCAAAGTAAGAATTTACGCAATTGTCTATACAATTTTATATATTTATTTTTTTTATATTTTTAGTTAAATTAAATACAATTTTCAGTCCTTACTTGACGTGGAGAGACATTCATCATATAATAGTGTGGACGACTGACGTAATGCCTTTATTAGAAAACAAAGGATGGAAAATGAATTCCATAGGTTTGATGTACAATAGTCAATTTGGTTTTGGGTTGCTGAATGCTGAAGCAATGGTAAAAACAGCAGTAAAATGGGAATACTTACCTCAGAAAACGACATGTGATGTCAATGCAGAAGTAAGGTATAACTTATATATACAGTATTTTTTAAAGTAATATTTCAATTCGATTAGATCTATATGAAACAATTCCATATGTGTTCGTGTTAATAGTTTTCCTGTACCGATCTCTTCTAACAAATCGGCCGTTATCATTTTTCAAACCGACGGATGCAGAGATACATGGAATGAAGTTAATTATTTAGAACACGTTCAAGTGTGTTTATCCATCGACTACACTGTTAGAGGAGCTTTGGATTTATATTTAGTATCACCCTCGGGTAAGATATGATAATAACTTAGCTGTTTTTTTTTTTTTAATATATATTAGTAACTTCTAAGAAATAACTATCTCATAAATGGGAATATATCAATAATATTTTTAATACAGTATTATAATTTTATACTTTGCAATATGAATTAATGTAATTATATTATTATGTAATATGTAAGTATATTAGAGGTTTGTGTTATTAGGGGCATTGATTCTGTTAAATTTTGGTGGTTAAAGATCGGGGAGTGGGGAGATAGAGGGGGGGCACACGTCGTATATCTTTAGGAAATATTTACTAGAAAGTACAGGAATACGTCCAAAAATATTAATTTTTGTTTCTATCATTTCTTTATCATAAAAAGTTACATTATAATTTTCATTTCAAATATTAATTCTGAGATTTATTTGCAAAAATAATTACAAATATCTCTCTAAATCCCACTCTTGAAATGACGATATTAATAACAAAATATGCTCTCCCCCTTAATTATTTTCATAAAGATTTGTTAAAATAAATATTTTCTCGTGTTCAAAGACGTATAAGTCTATATATATATAATCAAACTTATCAATCAGAGACGAGGAATTTATATAATTTAAATGCTGACTTCAAACTCAGTACAGATAAGTACAGATTTCTGTTGAATCTATGCATATTTATATCATTTGTATATAGAATTTTTACAGAAATAAGTTCACCCTCTTAATATATATTATTATTATTATAAGAATTACATTATATTATAGAAGTAAAGTTCTTTTTTTTTTTATTCAAGTACGATTCATCTTACATTACGAATGAATAAAGATTTGATTCGGTATTTTTTTGTTTGTCAGGTAAACATGAGAAGCTCTGGCTTCCTATGTTTGTCTTGCAAATCAATGCAAATGTCAACGATTCAAATTACAATACTTTATTTTAACTTCATCGTTCTAACAAAAGATCTTCATGTCTAATTTTATAAAAGAAATTATATTTCATGATAAATAATATTACTATATTTATATCATACTAAGCGCCAAAGCATAATGTTTTTTTGCTTTCTTAATGAGATATAATGTATTTGAAAACTTAACCTATACAAAATTTATTGGAGCTGATCCTTACATAAATTAGGATCTTCACGTACAGGACATATAAAAATTCTAATTAATGACAATTATATAACTAGGACTGTAAAGTTCCCATCCATCTGCCATTGATCCTTGATTTATATGCATAATTTTTACATCAGGTGACACATTTTGAATTGTGTGGCCCATTTCTGACCTGTATTAGAGAGAGATATTTATCAATAAATTCATTGTTTTGCGTTTGTTAATCTTTTTAAAAAACGATGTTAAAAATTGCGAAATAAATGTAGAGCAGTGCCATAACACTTCTCATTAACTATTAAACAGATTGAAAAATACTGGCATAATGACAATGAATGATATGAGCTGTGGCTCTTCGATACTGATTCTTGTAGGAGGCAAAGCGGCAAATAATATGGCGTGCTGATATGAAATATTATGCAAATAAATAAAACAAGAAAACAGAATGTTTGACATAATAAACAAGCAAAAGTAACGTGTTAAACTGTCATTAGAGGGCCAAATGTTCGGGTCTCTAATTCGAACGAAATTTGGTGAGTATATAAGTTAGCCTTAAACACAAATAGCTCCTTGTCCAAATAATAGGACCCACTTTTCAAGAGTTTCCAAAAAATAGGCTCTGAAAATTTAGTGTTTAGCTTCTAATACATAGCTTAGTAATACATAAAGAAGTATTATGGTGCTGCTCATCACTATATTCGTGGCGCTTTAGTGTTATGAGGCATCCCTGTCGAAAACCAGTCACTTACGCTTTAAATATACTAAATAGACTAATTGAAAAAAAGGGTGATCGTGTGATAAACCGAAAAGATAATTGAAAAACACATGTGATAAACCGAAATCGTTTGCTACGTTACTTACCAGACAATCTCTCCTGACGTGCCACTTTGGGCACACGTGTCATAAGTTCGCCACCCCTGTCCTAGATTATAGAAGGTCCTTTAATTTTTCAGGAACCGAAACAATTCTCCTTACTCGAAGACCTAAAGATAAAGCGATCGAAGGCTTTAAAAATTGGAAATTTTTAACCGTTCATCTTTGGGGTGAAAGTCCTACAGGATTATGGAAACTCGTAATAAGAGATATGGTAATTTTCTAACATTTTTTCCTATAAGTTTTTTATTAAATTTTGATATTTTATTATTATAATCTAAATTTGATGATTTTGAATGACTCTATGACTTGAAATTTAATGATAAATTTAGTGTAATAATGATAACTCATTGATATAATAGTAAATTTAATAGTCACACCTGAATGATAATTTATGGAAAATATGGAAATTCGAATGGTTATATTTTATCATTTGTATTTTCCACTGAAGGAGAAGACGAGACGAAAGAAGAGAAAATTCATTATTTTACTGTAATGAAATCCTATACTTTCGAGAAAGACACGTAAACTTATCTCTTGTTTCTTGTGATTGCCCTCGTGTGTTCTGAATCATCACTTACACATCAATAATCTTTAAAGTATTCTGTGAAATTCAAACAATTTTATAAAAAGTATATATTATTATGTTTATTTATATGTAATATTATATCAATAAATTGAAATTTTCACCATGATAACCTTTAAATAAAAGACAATCTATGTGTATATTCCTTTTTATCATCCTAAACTTTATATAAGATGATAAAGTCGAATACAAATATACAATAGGTTGCAAGTATTTTTATACAATTAATTCGAAACACGTGGCTCGACAAGAGTATTTACAAGATTGTATAAACATGTATATACAAGTCGACCCCCGTATAACACTGTTGATTTTTCCGTTTTATATGAATTCCATGTTGTACGAGTCACTTAGATTTTACAAATACGTGAGCCGTTCACAGCCCAGCACACGTATTTGTAAAATCTAAGTGACTCGTACAACATGGAATTCATATAAAACGNCGAAAAAACTACATTCACGAGACGTTTACTTTATAAAGCGTTAATAAATAAATATTTAAAGAAATAATAAATTTTTTTTTTAATATTTAGGTTCTAGAACGATGCTTTTATCTAAACGAGAGAAGGATAAGTCTGCTATAGGATTCAAAAACTGGACTTTTTTGACAGTTCATCTATGGGGTGAGAAATGCGCTGGTCAATATAAACTTCTGATAAGAGATAAGGTTCGATTTTGTATATTTAGATATCCTTTTTTTAAAAAAAAAATGGAAAATATTGATAAATAATAAATTTTCGTTTATTCTTTTAAATTTAAAGATCGGAGAAGACAATAGGGGTGAAGTCAAAAAAGCAATTTTAACATTGCACGGTACTAAAGATATGCCAGAACATATGAAAGGTGGCAAAATATATTCAAAAGATTCGGATATAGAAAGCATTATCGATAAATCGGTAAGATTTGATTAAATAATTTCAAAAATATAATAAAGAACTTTTAAAATAAAATAAAAAAAATTGAGACAATGAAGTCAAAAAGGTGCACTTTTTATACAGAAAATTCAAGTAACTCTTATAACGTTTTTCACCTTTAACCTTTATGAGTATTGCCCGTAACTTGTAACCTTTTTGACCCGAGTCTCTCTCAATTAATTATATATATATTTATTGAATAATTCAGGAGTTTGAAGACGATGTGGACGACGACACAAACGATCTTTCCGATAAGTTAAATGAGATAAGAGAAAGTAACGAAGGAAATTTAGATTGGGACCAATTAATTGGAGAAAAGTTAAGAAGTTTAGATCAAAAAAATTCCGATAGATTCTTATCCGATTTTGAAGAAGAAAGAAATTTTGATTATGTACAAGAGTACTATTAAAATGAGTGCTTTGAAACTGGTCTAGTATGCAAGTGTACATTATTATTTATTAAATATTGATGGACAATAAAAATTGTTTCTTAAGCGCGATTTTCGATTATTTATATCGATTTATATTAGAAAATTTAATATATTATTTCTAATCTTGATCATAATCAAAGCTTTTAATAAGAACTTTAAATTCCGAAGTAAAAAAAAAAAAATGTAATGCAAAATCAATACGAATTTTTTTTCTGGAATCGACAACTTCATTTTTAGTTTTCGAAGATTTAAACGTGTCTATAATTTTCTTGGAAAATCTAATCCAAATTATAATAATACGATATGTTTATATAAAGCTAGATTTCTCATACGTAATTTATGGGATCCAACTGAACTATATGTATCTTTTGTTCGTGCTTGTGAAATTTATTCTAATTTTTTCTAAAGTTCGAGTTACATATTTTATAAAATTATTTATTTATCAGTTTAGACTGAAATTCTTAATTTCCCCCTTCTGTTATTTAAATTTTAAAAATATAAATTTATTATTGAATTTTTAACTATAACAAATATATTTAGTGAAAGCTTAGAATTAAATTTTTTTCCTGTTTTACAAATGACTAGAAGACATTCCTGGACGAAAAGTCAAAGAGAAGAATGGTGTGTCCAAGTTTCTTGGTAGATTATAAGATATTTTCCATAGGTTCAAAGAGTAAAATCACTCAATATGTATAGAGAATTGACTGATTGACAGACATTTCGACAAGAAAACACTTCCACAATCTTTTTCTTCTGTAAATTTAGGTTTAATTTTTAAAATTTTAAGTATTATTTAATGCCACCGCCTTGCGTAATTTTAATTTTTATATTTAGAAGGTTTAAAACCTTTTTAGATTCTTTTATATCGAATTTGTATAATACATATTAAATTACAGTATAATAATATATCCAATGTCTATGAGAATCTTCTAATGAGCATATGTAAAAGTCGAACACTAATTGCAGTTCAATATCCAGTTATCTGAGACAAGAATTGATTATTCTCGGGAAAGTGCTTATTTATCCTGATTTAAATAAATGTATAGATTATTGTCAGCATGAATATCAATTACATCCGTTCCTATAATAGATTCATCATCATCCTTTTAATAAATATAAAAATAGCAAAAGAATTATACAGAACAGAGCAAAGACGACAATTAAAATACTCAAAATTGTTACTAATTGATAAGAAATTTGCCAGTTTATTAATTAAAATCATACAATATATCTGGTGTTATAAACTTACTCATTAAGTCATCTCCACTGGTAAAATGTAAACATGCTTAATTGTAGTTATATAGGAATCTTGTTTAATATAATTGTAAAAATTCAGTTTTTTTTAAATAAAATTACATACAATCTCCCACCTTACAGTAAGTTAAAATTCTAAAAGAAATGTTATTTTAATAATTGCTTTAATAAACTTATTAGCAAATTGCATAATAGAAACTGACCATCACAGTTGTTATATATGAATTTCATAGAAACAATATTGTCTATTATTTTATTACTACTATATTGTTGCATACCAGCTAATATAATTTTTCTATAAATTTAGTTATTAAATTATTGTTAATCTTCCAACTGTACCATTCAAGATTTTAAAAATTATTGGGTTAGCAATAGAATTGTGCTGGTCATCTAACAGGAAAGTATGATGTACAGGGGCACTACTAAGACACTACTAATTTGAGATGGAGAGCATATATTTTAAATTAAACATAATTAAAAATTGCAGCCTGGCATTGTAAAACAATTTCAAAATTAGTTTTAATAATACTTTGACAGAAGCACATTGTTACTGTACTACTTTGTGTATATTACAGTATGTGTGTGTTGTCAAAAATTTATATACAATAAATAACACCAAACATAGGAAAGGCAATTCTTTTTAATTCTTATCACCAACTGCCACTTTTACAATTACATAATCGAATATCCATGTATCGGCACCGACATATACTTCACTCCCCGAATGGCAACGATCACATACAAAACTTTGATCACAATTAAATTGCTACACTTCAAAGATTTAAGACTGAAATTATTCTATTCCTGAGTAGGGATATGTTAACAATGAGATATACAGTATATATATATATATTTTATTTTTATATATATAAATTTTCCTTGCTAGGAAATCACTGTCGACATTCTCTAATTATATAACGTGGCAGTTTTCGGTTAATATACGTGATAATACTCTTAAAAATATTCTTGATCTCGGGCACGTCATAAAATAAAACTAACTATTAACAATATACTCAATATATATATATACTTTTTTTTTTAATATATATTTTCCTTTACATTGTGTATATGATAAAAAATGTATTTTACTATTATATGCTTTGATGTTGATAAGCATTTCGGAAGTGTCCTGAACCCGATATTGTCGAATGCATTTGATACGACTGTTGTGTTTGAATTAAATATAATATTGGAAAATAAATTTTTACATATATAAAATATTNAAAAAAAAAAAAAAAAAAAAAAAAAAAGAACTATTACTAAGTTAAACCAATAACTATGAATATTTATATATATTTATATATATGTACATACAACACACTCACACACACAAAAGAATGTTAACACTATTATAAAGAATAAAATTTTTAACATATTTAATTCAAAATGGAAATCACAATCAACAACCGAATTATTATTATTATTATTATTATTTTTCTTAAAGTGCTATTTTCGTCTTATTCAAAAAAGTATTTTTGCAAAATACAACATTTATAGATGATGCCGGAAATATATAAATGAACAATGTATGGATTTCATAGAAAAATTCCAGTGGCAATGCCAATGCTTTGCAATAACTGTATAATTCAATAACGCTAAATTGAAAACAAAATATTAAAATTACAAAATATCTTAAATCACGAACGTTATCTCCATAAACAGAAAAATCCGTTAGAATTTAAAAATCACAGGTAAACTACATTATTATATTTAATCCAATTTTCCAACATGCCACAAAATAGCACTATATTTTGTACAATTATATATATATACAGTATGTACAATATATATATATTGATACTTCTGAAGTGTTTTAAAGCAATTACATAGTAATTGCTAATCGTCATTAAATTATAATTATGGGTAGTGCTATGTTGTCTATGTAGGAATTAGGAATTTATATTTAACATTGTTATTTTTAAATTAGCAACAATAATAATTTTTTTTTAGAATAAAAAACAATAAAAATCTCAATATAAATCACACCACAAAAAAAATTGTACCCAACTGTTAACTTCATCCTTGGGAAAAATAAGGAATGAATAAATCACAAAATTCAGAACGTTTCTCTTAATACTGAATACTTTGTTTTGTACAAAAACTTTATACAACAATGCTTTGGCTAGTGGCAGATATTTACTGATGAAAAATACACTTGTTACTTATTCTTTTCACTGTATTTAAAGCTTTATATGGTCCCTAATAAAATAGGGTTTGTACAACAGATACCATAAAGTTTACCAATTTGTGGCTGGAAATGAAGATCACCAGAAGTATGAACGAGCAGAGTCTCTATCTTTGCCAAGAAGATTGCTCGTAGAATTGCTTGAGAAATTTATGTGGAGATAAGACCCAGGAATGTTTTCAAGCTTTCAATATAGTTGTCTTTATGAAGGAAGTGGCGAGATGCTGGAACATATATTTAGACTTGTATGCGAAGAACACTGGCAGTGATGTAACGGGATGCGAAATGAGATAAAATAATTTTTCATCAAACAAACCAATGAACATAAGCCGAGGAGGAGTCCTAGATTTCCCATCAAGGCACAAGCGCTATTTGAATTCTTTTCATCTTTGTTTGTTTTTCTATCTGGTTGTTTTCTTGTTCCATGTGGAACTGATGAAAATCCATAAAATGATCCTATAAAAAAAATAAATAAATAATAATAATGTTTTGTATAAAATAATAAAAAGCATCATTACTAGTTACAAAATAACAGTGCATATCTATAAACAGGCATTAAACTTAATGGTTTTGAATGTAGTTAAAAATGCCACTTAATTTTTGTTAATTATTACAAAATTAGTAGCTTACGCTTATAGTAGTAAAAGCATTTTTTTAAATAACAAATGTAATTATTATAATTATTACTTTATTAGATAAATATTTATATATAATTTCATGTATTTATATTAAATTTATTTATTGCATTAATATCAAATTATATTAAAAATAAAAGAAGCTTTGATATTAAACANTATACTAATATACTAATTACATGGTATATAATAATATACTACACTAATAATGGATTTTTTCATATTTTTCGGTTATCCGACTTTTCAATTATCCGACCAACCCCAGTCCCCAATTGAGTCGGATAATCGAGGCTCTACTGTAATTATAGAAAATAATAATATATACACTAAAACCTCAATTTAGTGCCACTGTTTATATGTCTCTGAAATTGGCACTAAATTGAGTTTGGCATTAGGCTGAATTATTTCAAACAAAATGAATTAAGTAATATATACTATAATAATTCTATACCCAACCTTGGATATAAGAGTTTAGAAAATTGTGATGTAAAATCCTGCATTTAGTAATTTGCAGATATGGGAGAGTTTTTTGTTTATTATTTACAGGGAAGATCCATTTACAAGTATTCATTGGTGCTATTTAGCAGGGCAGTGTATTGAAGTTTGACTGTATACATGTTAAAAGTATTATTTGTTATTTTTATTAAAATTCTACATACAAGTACAACCAAAAATTTTAATTTTTGTTTTACAGAAAATATTTTTTATAGATAGGAAAACTATAAATTTCAGTCAATAGCTTTAAAAACTTTATAAATACAATGAAACAACTGTTGAGAAAATGAGAAAATGGAGTCTGACAGTGAAAGAAGAAACATTTTGATGCTTTATTTTTTTTGTTCTGCCTAGTCTGTCTCAGTCTATGTGAAAGCCACTTCTCTAGCATTAAAATNATCGGTACGTAATCCAGTTATGCCTATGCGGTATCGGAAATGTACGTTTTATATGTACCTAAATAAAAGATTGTGTATCGGTACGTGTAAATATTATTCATAATTATGCATTTGTTTTGCCATTATTTGCCATGTTAGAATTATAATTTTTTTTATCATTCAAAGTACCGGAACAGTTTCTTATTTCACAAAAATACAAATATTCTGATAAGTTTACGAATAGAAATTGATTTTAATAAGCTTTTTTTGCAAGAATAACTTTCATATTAGTTTTCATTATATTAATTAATTTGTATTTTTAAATTTTATTTATTAAAATAATAATATATTCTAAATAAATTAGCAATATGTTATATTATACTATTTCATTTATAATATAAAATTAATTTTTAATTAATTATTTTAGATATCGACGAATGCTCCATATATAAAAACGTCTGTCAGCAACGCTGTATTAATACAAAAGGAAGCTTTCAATGTGCTTGTAATGAGGGATATAAAGTATCTGAGTCTAGTCCTTACATGTGCACAGGTAATGTAATGTTAACTCTGCATTAATAATAATAAATATACCAACCTGTTTTCTTTGCATCAGAATCTCTATTCAATTGAGAATATCCTGTGCCTTCATTCTTAATTGCATTCTGATCCAGAAAATAAACTGGTGGTCTTTGACTAGTAAGGGGATAATACTGATGAGTGTGACGCACAGTTGGAAATGGCGTGGTGGTAGTGGTTGTAGTTGTCGTGGTAGTTGTGGATCGTGTTGTTGTTTTACGTGGACGTTTAGTTGTAGGTGCAACCGTGGTAGTGGTGGTAGTTGTGGTGGGTTTGGGTCTGGATGTCGTAGTGGTGGTTGTGGTAACTCTTGGTACATCTGGATTCTCATATGTTCCAAAAACTGTTAATGACCAGTCTTTAAGAGTGGCACGACCTAAACATTTAATATATACAATGACAAAAACATTAAAGGATATATTTAAATTTTTCCAACAATTAAAAAGTTTTCAAAATTAAGAAATAAAAGCAGTTTTCTTAAAAATATTCTATATTTTTAAGAATTTCAGTCAATAGATTAAAAAAACTTTATAAATATAATAAAACAAGTGTTGAGAAAATGAGAAAACTGAGTTTGACAGTGAAAGAAGAAACACTTTGATGTTTTATTTTTTTTGTTCTGCCTATTCTGTCTCAGTCTATGTGAAAGCCACTTCTCTAGCATTAAAATATAATAACTAATTTAGTAATATAGTTAATTTAAATTTGATAAAACAATCTACATCAATAAAAAGGAGAAAAAGAACAGTATTCTAATCAAGTTCACATTCAATTATATTATTGTAATTTTTTTAACTGATTATTATGTAATATTAATACAAATAATTTAAAACAGTTTAAAAAATTAACTGGATTAGCTTACATTTTAATAATAAAAAAAAATCTGCTTTTTTAATCCAGCTGTTCATTTAAGTCTACATTTTAAATTTTATTGTTAGCGTGAAAAAATCATTTTTTCCACTATATTATTCTTGCAATAAAGTGAAAATATTTTAAATTGAATAAAAATGTCACAGGAAAAAAATTATATTGGAATTTTTACTTTAATCAATAAACTTTTACAACTTAAAGCAAATTTTCAATATTATGACATATGACATAAAACTAATTATTACTGATAATGATATCACTATTGATTCCTAAATACTAATACTATTATATTAATTAAATGTTTAAAATTAATGATGTATAATACTTTTTATAATTTTGATTAACAACTTATATATATGTTCAAAACATTTAACAACTGTTTGTAAATTATATATTATATATAAGATTGTGTCAATCTGGCTAAATTGGCCAGACTAATACAAGTTCAACACTAAGAAATTGGTAAAATAAGACTAAAATAGATTATTATTATTATTATAGATTATCAATATTTTACAAACTTTTACTAAATCAAATCAGCAAAATCAAAAACTGTTTTTCTAAAATCAGTTTCTCAATATTATAGGGTGAAGTTATTGGCTACCAGACAGTAACTAGCCATTCCAAATTTAAATCTTTCCAATTTCTTTGAAAAGATATTCTGGAAATATTGCAACAAAAAAATCCTATTGGTTTTTCTGTCATTGCATATAGCCTGTACAATTTTCATAAAACACCACACATTTTGGATTAAACAGTTATCATTTGCAATTTTTTTAGATATTGGCAATAAAAAGGAAAACTTTTAAAAATTAAAATTATCTTAAGTGGCTAATAATGGTACTATTTGACATACATCTTTTTTCAATAAAAGAGAAATACAAAAATTTATAAAATGGGATCATTTCAATAGGAAATTAAAATAAAATGTTATGTATTTGTAGAACAACATTACTTAAAAACAGGATCTGATATTGCAACAGTCAATCAAAATTAACAGTTTAATATCCTTAAAAAGCTGGTCTACACAGTGACACTTAATGTCAATATTTATGTCCTAGAGTAGCATATCTGTTGTCCACATATACTTCATTTTTTTTTTTAAGTTTAGACTAGTGTCATATACTAGGTTGTTTCAAGTGTCACTAGATAGTGTATAGGATGCATATGCATGCCACAGAAGTGATTTAATCTAGCTTTTTTTTACTATATAATTTGTATAAGTTAATACAGATTAACATAACCTGTGATAGCTGTTTGTGTATCTTAGTTATATATTCTTTTTCCTTTTTTTCAGTTAACTCTTTCTGCCTTGTCAGCACTAAAAGGCATTTTATCAAGCCCAAAGTGAGTTCAACCAGGACCATAATGGGACCAGTCCACTACCTGGCTGCCCCAACATATCTGAGACAGACTGACCATGAAAATTTCCTAGGGTGTTTTGACTGACTGGATTCAATCTAGCTTAAGCCATCCCACTGACATAAAAAATTCAAATTTATTTGTTAAAACTTTAAAAGATTTTTAAAAACATCTATTAGAGCAAATACAGTATGATTTAGTAAACCATCTGAAATACAATAATAATAAGTATCATTTTTATTAAATGTGCATGAACTATTTAAATATATTTATTGAATAATTCNTTAAGAGTGGCACGACCTAAACATTTAATATATACAATGACAAAAACATTAAAGGATATATTTAAATTTTTCCAACAATTAAAAAGTTTTCAAAATTAAGAAATAAAAGCAGTTTTCTTAAAAATATTCTATATAAAATTTCAAATTGTATGTTAAAGGAAAAAAAAAAATAATAATAACAACAACAGAAAATACAGAAATATTTATGCTTTAAGTAATAATTATAACTTCAATACTTTTCTGGTTCCTAAATTATAAAAACAATAACAGTATTTCTACAAGCTGCAATTGAGAAAATCTTAAAATATTTTTTATAGATAGGAAAACTATAAATTTCAGTCAATAGCTTTAAAAACTTTATAAATACAATGAAACAACTGTTGAGAAAATGAGAAAATGGAGTCTGACAGTGAAAGAAGAAACATTTTGATGCTTTATTTTTTTTGTTCTGCCTAGTCTGTCTCAGTCTATGTGAAAGCCACTTCTCTAGCATTAAAATCTAATAACTAATTTAATAATATAGTTAATTTAAATTTGATAAAACAATCTACATCAATAAAAAGGAAAAAAAGAACAGTATTCTAATCAAGTTCACATTCAATTATATCAATATTATTGTAATTTTTTTAACTGATTTAAATTATTTTTATTAATAATACATAATAAACAGTTTAAAAAATTAACTGGATTAACTTACATTTTAATAATTAAAAAAATCTGCTTTTTTAATCCAGCTGTTCATTTAAGTCTACATTTTAAATTTTATTGTTAGCTTGAAAAAATCATTTTTTCCACTATATTACTCTTGCAATAAAGTGAAGATATTTTAAACTAAATAAAAATGTCACAGGAAAAAAAATTATATTGGAATTTTTACTTTAATCAATAAACTTTTACAACTTAAAGCAAATTTTCAATATTATGACATATGACATAAAACTAATTATTACTGATAATGACATCACTATTGATTCCCAAATACTGATACTATTATATTAATTAAACGTTTAAAATTAATGATGTATAATACTTTTTATAATTTTGATTAACAACTTATATATGTTCAAAACATTTAACAACTATTTGTAAATTATATACTATATATAAGCTTGTATCAATCTGGCTAAATTGACTTGGCCAGACTAATACAAGTTCAACACTAAGAAATTGGTAAAATGAGACTAAAATAGATTATTATTATTATTATTATTATTATAGCTTATCAATATTTTACAAACTTTTACTAAATCAAATCAGCAAAATCAAAAACTGTTTTTCTAAAATCAGTTTCTCAATATTATAGGGTGAAGTTATTGGCTACCAGACAGTAACTAGCCATTCCAAATTTAAATCTTTCCAATTTCTTTGAAAAGATATTCTGGAAATATTGCAACAAAAAAAAATCCTATTGGTTTTTCTGTCATTGCATATAGCCTGTACAATTTTCATAAAACACCACACATTTTGGATTAAACAGTTATCATTTGCAATTTTTTTAGATATTGGCAATAAAAAGGAAAACTTTTAAAAATTAAAATTATCTTAAGTGGCTAATAATGGTACTATTTGACATACATCTTTTTTCAATAAAAGAGAAATACAAAAATTTATAAAATGGGATCATTTCAATAGGAAATTAAAATAAAATGTTATGTATTTGTAGAACAACATTACTTAAAAACAGGATCTGATATTGCAACAGTCAATCAAAATTAACAGTTTAATATCCTTAAAAAGCTGGTCTACACAGTGACACTTAATGTCAATATTTATGTCCTAGAGTAGCATATCTGTTGTCCACATATACTTCATTTTTTTTTTTAAGTTTAGACTAGTGTCATATACTAGGTTGTTTCAAGTGTCACTAGATAGTGTATAGGATGCATATGCATGCCACAGAAGTGATTTAATCTAGCTTTTTTTTACTATATAATTTGTATAAGTTAATACAGATTAACATAACCTGTGATAGCTGTTTGTGTATCTTAGTTATATATTCTTTTTCCTTTTTTTCAGTTAACTCTTTCTGCCTTGTCAGCACTAAAAGGCATTTTATCAAGCCCAAAGTGAGTTCAACCAGGACCATAATGGGACCAGTCCACTACCTGGCTGCCCCAACATATCTGAGACAGACTGACCATGAAAATTTCCTAGGGTGTTTTGACTGACTGGATTCAATCTAGCTTAAGCCATCCCACTGACATAAAAAATTCAAATTTATTTGTTAAAACTTTAAAAGATTTTTAAAAACATCTATTAGAGCAAATACAGTATGATTTAGTAAACCATCTGAAATACAATAATAATAAGTATCATTTTTATTAAATGTGCATGAACTATTTAAATATTTTAATTTTTGAGTTAACCATCCTTTGGATACTTCTGGATCCTCCACTTATTCCAGGTCCTTCCAGTGCAATAGGGTGAGGCCTTAACTGGCTTGTCATACAGCCAGCTGAACTTCAATACTATTAAAAGTTTTGTAGATTAAGACCAACTGGAAAGTAGATCAACTGGAAATAGATTAGAGTCTGCAGTTTGCAATCTATCCACAGAGTTTGTATGACACTGACACCCATTGCTGGTGATCAAATTGTTAAGCTAGAGACAAGTGTACACACTAGACTAAAAGTTGAATACTTGCCTTAAAATCACTTAGAATTTCAGAAATTTTTTTTAGCATTTTAGCAGTAATTATGATGGGACGGGGCATCATTCGTCTTTGTTTTAATACAAACAATTCATTAAACTTTGTCATAACAACCTGTGTGTTATGATTTGTCCAATTTTACATAAAATAACTTTATTCCCTAATTGTTTGTGAACAATTTAATTCAGAAAAATTAAGGATAAAATTTTATTATTTTTTTTAAATTAAAGTAATTAAATAACATCAATTTATATTATACAAAATAAAGGAATATTTAGAACAGTCTAAAATAATGTAAAACATTAGGTTATCTTGCAATATTCTTAGCATAAAATATTTTAAGGAAATATATACATGCACATAATATAAATACTATATGTAGTCATTTTGATAGTTAATATATAGATTTGTGTAAAATTGGAAATATAACATTTAAGAAATTCAGAACAGCAAAGTTCATTAAAAAAGAAAACTATCCACACAATCTTTACTTATCCTTTTCTTACACCAGGAATTCATCTANTTTATCTTTCTGAAGATCAAATTATGTAATAAATAAGAATTGGCTAAATAAGCTTACTGTAAATTCTTTGTAGGTATATCAATTTCTTCTGGTTAACAAAATTTAAATTTGATTATATTTTAGCACAGGTAATACCAGATATATCTGTTAACATTAAAAACTTTCTTTAACGGTCTTTTAATTTACTTGTTTAGTTTCTCATGGTTTGTAAATGATTTTTTGAAATACTATGCAGTTAAATAACATTTATCATCAAAATTTAATATAAGTTAACTGAAAATAATAAATATAATTAATTTTTGTAGAATCAAAATATGTAATAATTGATAACAGTAATCTTAATAAATATAAATAGTTTTAAGGAAATATATACATGCACATAATATAAATACTATATGTAGTCATTTTGATAGTTAATATATAGATTTGTGTAAAATTGGAAATATAACATTTAAGAAATTCAGAACAGCAAAGTTCATTAAAAAAGAAAACTATCCACACAATCTTTACTTATCCTTTTCTTACACCAGGAATTCATCTAAAAATACACTGAAGTTGTCTATTTTACATAATTTACTGATGTTTTAGCCTCAAATAAAAGACGACTTTAGTGTGTTTTAGATGAATTTCTGATGTGAGAAAAGGTCAAGTGAACATGCCATTTGGATAATCCATTTTTCAATTGAAAATATTAACTTTTGTAATGAACTAACTATAATTTTGAAAAATCAAAACTTTACTTATATAATTTTAAATGCCTTAATAATTTCATCACTTTTATTAAAGGAGAAATTTTCAAAATTATCCTGTATCATATATATTTTAATGACAATTAACCTACCCAATATACCATGTGGTAGATCACTTCCTATCACAAATGACAGCATGAAAAAAATTTTTTTAATTCAACATCATTTCAAATGTAATAAATAATTTTAAATAATATTCTAAAATTGCAGATTTACCAAAATATCGGCCTTCATTATGAATCTCAAGTTTCCATTCCCCATTTGGATTCTCACCCCAATTATGAACAGTCATGAATGGCCACGCTTGAAATCCTGATCGAGAATTATCATTTGTACGTTGAGCAAGTAAAGTTGATCTGAAATTGAATAAACATTTTAGTTTAAAAAGTGATTCACAAGAATTCCTGTTGCTCATTTACATATTATAAATAAAATTCAACACTACATAGGTGTAACTAATTTAGCTAGATGTAATCTAACAACATTTAATCAAATTTTTTTTTCTTTTCTAATTCATTAACAATAGAATTGGTAATAATAGAACTAGGAATAAATATACAGTACATATTTTCAGTATTAATAGTAAAAAAATGTATACATTTAGTATCAAATTGGAATATTAAATGAATATCCTGATCATAATTGAATTGCAGCTACATTGTAAAATAAATCTTAAAAATATTTTGAAAGTGTAAATGTTCATTCCCTTTAATTTTCATACTAGACAATGCCAAATAGGGTGTTTATAGGAATCCAAAGAAAATGTAAATGATATCAGTCTACCATTTTGTAAAAACCCTGAAATCTAATCTGGACAAGAAATCTCAAATTTTTTTGCAAGTGTCTATCATCTTGGATCTGCAGGATCCATTCCCATGCACATTGAGGAGCTGGAAATTTTTTCCTAGTCCAAGAATGTTCCTACTCCTATAAATTAATGTTATTTTTACTAACAAAAAAGTATCTTTAAGATTGCTTTTTATTAACAAGGAAACATACTACATATTTACACACATCCTACCCTATAGTTGCAGGTCCTATACAAGCACTCAATGGCCCTGCCTATCTCTCACCCAGTGCCGGCACGAGGCAAGTTTCAGGATGGAGCGAGATCCTATTATGGCACCCCCTTGGTTGCCCCTAATTTATACCCTTTAATTTTTTTTTACCACTGAGGCGCTCCCTAGGACTTAGCGCCTGGAGTGTCTGCTCCGTTCGCCTTATGGTAGGGCTGGCTCTACTCTCACCATCTGGTTACCCTCATTGTAGGCCCGAACTCATGATGGGTATGATTAATTAAAAGATGCTTTAAGTGCCCACAGATGAGAAAAGTCAAAAAAGAAATCTAACATATATGACTTTAAATCATATTAGATTTTCTGTAAAAAGTTGATACACTGGTTGTGAAAAGTAGAAATGATGTTTATTTTGTTTAATAAATGGCCATTACAGGACTTAAATAACTCTTGCAAAGATTTTATACCACAAATGTTATTCATACTAGCTAACATGCTCTGTTGCTATAAGACTATTATTTTTTATTGTACTGAATTTTGCAATGTTAACAAATCTCAAGGGCAAAATGGTTGCTGGTTTATAACTAAAGGAATCTTAAATTTCCTATGGATAATTGCATGTAGAATGTTTAAGAATTTGATGTCCACAATCTTTTTTTATAACCCTACTAGAAATACATGTATCGCAGTATACTGGGATGTTCAGTAATGGTGTTAATCATTCTTAAGTATGTGCGCTTTTATCTTTCTGAAGATCAAATTATGTAATAAATAAGAATTGGCTAAATAAGCTTACTGTAAATTCTTTGTAGGTATATCAATTTCTTCTGGTTAACAAAATTTAAATTTGATTATATTTTAGCACAGGTAATACCAGATATATCTGTTAACATTAAAAACTTTCTTTAACGGTCTTTTAATTTACTTGTTTAGTTTCTCATGGTTTGTAAATGATTTTTTGAAATACTATGCAGTTAAATAACATTTATCATCAAAATTTAATATAAGTTAACTGAAAATAATAAATATAATTAATTTTTGTAGAATCAAAATATGTAATAATTGATAACAGTAATCTTAATAAATATAAATAGTTATGACTTTTATTAATGTTTGTGCACTGATGCATCAATTTCATCCAAGTAGTAATGAGCTATATTGTTGGCAAAACATACATGTTAAGCATGGAAACGCCCATGTTAATCAAAGTTGTGTAGTAAAGTCATAATTAACTCTAGTGACTGTTGTTTAAACCAACCCTAGAAAAGCTAGCTTTACCAGGATTCTTGTCACATTCATAAGTATTCAATTCAAAGATATGCTTAAATATTAGTTTCAAGTTAGAAGATCATATTTTAAAATTAAAATTTTCTGCAAGTTTTGGCTAAATTAGGTGTATTCTGTTATTTAGACTCAGCTCATGTAAGAAGTACCAAAAACAGAACTTCATTAAAATTTGTTGGAAAAATCCTTTTTCATTTTCAGAAAAGTCTTTTACAGAATAGAAGATTTACAATTAAATTCCAGTTATAAGTAATAAATGGAATTTAAAAGAAATATAAATTAATATAATCCGTACAACAATTTCTGGCATAAAATTTAAAGAAATTTTACATTTAAGAAAGTCTTTAAATTTCAAATAATAATTGATATAATAAATATTCTATAAAACTTAATATAATTATATCAAATTACATATTTAAATAATTTTAAATAATATTCTAAAATTGCAGATTTACCAAAATATCGGCCTTCATTATGAATCTCAAGTTTCCATTCCCCATTTGGATTCTCACCCCAATTATGAACAGTCATGAATGGCCACGCTTGAAATCCTGATCGAGAATTATCATTTGTACGTTGAGCAAGTAAAGTTGATCTGAAATTGAATAAACATTTTAGTTTAAAAAGTGATTCACAAGAATTCCTGTTGCTCATTTACATATTATAAATAAAATTCAACACTACATAGGTGTAACTAATTTAGCTAGATGTAATCTAACAACATTTAATCAAATTTTTTTTTCTTTTCTAATTCATTAACAATAGAATTGGTAATAATAGAACTAGGAATAAATATACAGTACATATTTTCAGTATTAATAGTAAAAAAATGTATACATTTAGTATCAAATTGGAATATTAAATGAATATCCTGATCATAATTGAATTGCAGCTACATTGTAAAATAAATCTTAAAAATATTTTGAAAGTGTAAATGTTCATTCCCTTTAATTTTCATACTAGACAATGCCAAATAGGGTGTTTATAGGAATCCAAAGAAAATGTAAATGATATCAGTCTACCATTTTGTAAAAACCCTGAAATCTAATCTGGACAAGAAATCTCAAATTTTTTTGCAAGTGTCTATCATCTTGGATCTGCAGGATCCATTCCCATGCACATTGAGGAGCTGGAAATTTTTTCCTAGTCCAAGAATGTTCCTACTCCTATAAATTAATGTTATTTTTACTAACAAAAAAGTATCTTTAAGATTGCTTTTTATTAACAAGGAAACATACTACATATTTACACACATCCTACCCTATAGTTGCAGGTCCTATACAAGCACTCAATGGCCCTGCCTATCTCTCACCCAGTGCCGGCACGAGGCAAGTTTCAGGATGGAGCGAGATCCTATTATGGCACCCCCTTGGTTGCCCCTAATTTATACCCTTTAATTTTTTTTTACCACTGAGGCGCTCCCTAGGACTTAGCGCCTGGAGTGTCTGCTCCGTTCGCCTTATGATAGGGCCGGCTCTGCTCTCACCATCTGGTTACCCTCATTGTAGGCCCGAACTCATGATGGGTATGATTAATTAAAAGATGCTTTAAGTGCCCACAGATGAGAAAAGTCAAAAAAGAAATCTAACATATATGACTTTAAATCATATTAGATTTTCTGTAAAAAGTTGATACACTGGTTGTGAAAAGTAGAAATGATGTTTATTTTGTTTAATAAATGGCCATTACAGGACTTAAATAACTCTTGCAAAGATTTTATACCACAAATGTTATTCATACTAGCTAACATGCTCTGTTGATATAAGACTATTATTTTTTATTGTACTGAATTTTGCAATGTTAACAAATCTCAAGGGCAAAATGGTTGCTGGTTTATAACTAAAGGAATCTTAAATTTCCTATGGATAATTGCATGTAGAATGTTTAAGAATTTGATGTCCACAATCTTTTTTTATAACCCTACTAGAAATACATGTATCGCAGTATACTGGGATGTTCAGTAATGGTGTTAATCATTCTTAAGTATGTGCGCTTTTATCTTTCTGAAGATCAAATTATGTAATAAATAAGAATTGGCTAAATAAGCTTACTGTAAATTCTTTGTAGGTATATCAATTTCTTCTGGTTAACAAAATTTAAATTTGATTATATTTTAGCACAGGTAATACCAGATATATCTGTTAACATTAAAAAACTTTCTTTAACGGTCTTTTAATTTACTTGTTTAGTTTCTCATGGTTTGTAAATGATTTTTTGAAATACTATGCAGTTAAATAACATTTATCATCAAAATTTAATATAAGTTAACTGAAAATAATAAATATAATTAATTTTTGTAGAATCAAAATATGTAATAATTGATAACAGTAATCTTAATAAATATAAATAGTTATGACTTTTATTAATGTTTGTGCACTGATGCATCAATTTCATCCAAGTAGTAATGAGCTATATTGTTGGCAAAACATACATGTTAAGCATGGAAACGCCCATGTTAATCAAAGTTGTGNGTGTGTAGCATCCACGAACTAAACCATGTGAGGTTGGTGCTCTGTAAAGAGCATGCAAATGCGTATATCTGGTTGCTTTACACAATTCAAATATTTTAGCCGTGGAAGTTATCCCATATTCAACAATATAGTACTTCCATTCAGAATATGCATATACAATAGCAATCTTATATCCTTTTTCACATATAGTATAGAAATTTGTAATAAGATACATGATCTGGTTATAATAAAATATTAATTTTAATTAATTCAAAGTATGTTAAAATATGAAAATAATCATATGATATGTATTTATATTTTAGAAAACACAAGGGAAGCGATGCTTTCACAGTTTCCATGGACAGCATGCCACTGTTATATGTTTTTATATAATCCTAAAATCATTATCCTAGCTACAGATTTAAAAAAGTCTATAAAGTTGATTTTATACAATATTAAATTTGTTTGCATTCAATTAAAGAATAATGCCTAAATTGAGTCATCTAACAAATCAAAGGTAGTTAATTATTACTACATACATTTCGATCTAATATGATTAGCATTTTGTCAATCTTTCTAAATCTCCCAAGTGAGTGTGTGCATGCAAGCAAAGTTATTATTTTGATGATAATTTTCTTAAAATTGTTTTTAGAATCTTAATTCCATTAGATCCATGAAAACTAGAGTTTATGTAAATTTGAAATCTCAAATAATATGCATATTTTCAATAATTACCATTTCGACCAACTCCATTAGTCTTCCAATCTTTAGAATGTAGATTTGCAGGTCTAGCTGTTCTCACAACAATATGTTGCATATCTCTCCATGTTAATTTGTTGCTAGAAATAATTTATAAAATATTTTTATAATTAAGTTTAAGAAATAGAAATATAATTTCAAACAAAAAATTTTCAAACAAAAGTTTATTTTGATCAAGTAAACAACAACATTCATATTTAATTTTAATGTATAAACACATGTTGAGTCACATAATGTGTACAATTTTATTGTGTCATTCAACAAAATAAATTCAGAAAAAATAAAAATCAAAAGAACTACTGTCAATAACTTTAATAATTTACAATTAATCACTTTCAAATTCTTAAAATTTAGTGAAGAAATTTATAGCCAAGAGAACAAATACTTAATAATAAGCAAAAGTATTACTGGTTAAATCAAAATAAACTTTTAAGTATTTAAATTAATTGATATCAGAAATTAGTTATATATCTCATCTGATAAATTCTAGTATTTAAAAAAAACTCATTAAATACACAATTTATGAAATGCTTTAGAAAAAGACCTTCAGTTTCAATGAATTATATAGATTATTATAGATTAATAAAACTTTTAGTGAACTGAAAGTAAATTAGTCATCTGTTAAAAATATCTGTAATGAATTTATTATAACTGTTGAAATGATTATGTTGTGAATGAAGTGATTTTATATTTTTCACATTTTTTTTCATAGATATTGAAAATCATCTTTTAAAATAAACCTCCATATATAAATAAAAAGGAGTTCATTAACAAAATTTTGTGTTTTTGTGTTTTTACTGTCACAACTAGGTACATAGACAGACACTGGGCATTTCTTATGTCAATCTTTATTTGGGAATATCTTGTTGGTTGAAACGTGTCTGGTGAAAGATATTCTCGAATAAAGATTGACATAAGAAATGCCCAGTGTGTCTATGTACCTAGTTGTGACAATAAAAACAGATAAAAGGCATGGTTTCATACATTAATCAATTCTATTATCTATATTTAAGAAATTTTGTTAGTCAATTCTTTTTTCTTTATATTTGAAGATTTATAATGTTCTTTAATATATTCTATATAATATATACATATATAATTTTATTTTTATAAAAGTTATTGTTTTGCAAAAAGTTTCAATATTTTATATTTATAATTTTTGATTAATATGTATAACAACAGTAAAGTCTACAATTTTCTAAATATAATAAAAAATTCTTTTTAAAAAGTATAAACAACAGTACATTAACTCATTATTCCTAATGTTACACACAAATTTTAGTATTTGCCATATGTCAGTGGCATGAGGTGACATTTGATGATAGGGAAGCTGTATTGGCCCTGGATAGAATCATTGGAAGTGTTTATATGATTATTTTGGTGTGTAGCATTTTGATTATTTTGGTGTGTTTATATGATTATTTTGGTGTGTCCACGAACTAAACCATGTGAGGTTGGTGCTCTGTAAAGAGCGTGCAAATGCGTATATCTGGTTGCTTTACACAATTCAAATATTTTAGCCGTGGAAGTTATCCCATATTCAACAATATAGTACTTCCATTCAGAATATGCATATACAATAGCAATCTTATGTCCTTTTTCACATATAGTATAGAAATTTGTAATAAGATACATGATCTGGTTATAATAAAATATTAATTTTAATTAATTCAAAGTATGTTAAAATATGAAAATAATCATATGATATGTATTTATATTTTAGAAAACACAAAGGAAGCGATGCTTTCACAGTTTCCATGGGCAAAATGCCACTGCTATATGTTTTTATTAAATCCTAAAATCATTATCCTAGCAACAGATTTTAAAAAGTCTATAAAGTTGATTTTATACAATATTAAATTTGTTTGCATTCAATTAAAGAATAATGCCTAAATTGAGACATCTAACAAATCAAAGGTAGTTAATTATTACTACATACATTTCGATCTAATATGATTAGCATTTTGTCAATCTTTCTAAATCTCCCAAGTGAGTGTGTGCATGCAAGCAAAGTTATTATTTTGATGATAATTTTCTAAAAATTGTTTTTAGAATCTTAATTCCATTAGATCCATGAAAACTAGAGTTTATGTAAATTTGAAATCTCAAATAATACGCATATTTTCAATAATTACCATTTCGACCAACTCCATTAGTCTTCCAATCTTTAGAATGTAGATTTGCAGGTCTAGCTGTTCTCACAACAATATGTTGCATATCTCTCCATGTTAATTTGTTGCTAGAAATAATTTATAAAATATTTTTATAATTAAGTTTAAAAAATAGAAATATAATTTCAAACAAAAAATTTTCAAACAAAAGTTTATTTTGATCAAGTAAACAACAACATTCATATTTAATTTTAATGTATAAACACATGTTGAGTCACATAATGTGTACAATTTTATTGTGTCATTCAACATATTAAAAGTTACACTAACTGAACCTGTCTTATCTTTGTGTCCAGACAAATTCATTTAGTATAACCATACTGGTCACATGTTAAAATATAAGTCTGCAGCAGTAAAGATGTCAAGCTGACATTCTGATGATCCTTGGTTATGAATATGGCCAAGAAGTTATATTTAGAAGTTAACCAATTAACTTCTAAATATTCATTCACATTACTTTCAGTACACAAATGCTTATTGGTTAACTTCTAACTCTTAATCCTTCATTTTGAATGTGAACATTAAGTACTGGATTTGAATTTGGCTTAGAAGAAGAACTCCATTATGTGTACAGTTTAAGGAGAGAACTCCTTAAATTGTACAATGATGTACTTTTTATGGCCAGCAAAGTCAGTTTCCAAAAATGTCAACCCTGCCAGCTGAGGTGATAACCCCAAGGGTAACCCCCTAGTGAGTTCAGTCCTGGTCATGAAAAGTACACTATTGTGTGTGACAAGAAAGAAAGGGTTGAGATGTTATCTATGCAAGCTTTTCAGTGGTATAAGTACATATTTGTATTCCACTAATAAGTCTACTTACTAGTCACATGAATAAACTATCACCTAAAAAAAGTTTCTGCAAATATTTTCTGAGTCATTTCTTCAATGTCAGGGAGTTGATGAATTATTGTATATGTAATTAAGAAGGTTACATCATTGTACACAACAGGAAGGAAGAGGGTCAAACATGACTAGAACTGTACACAATGGGTGACACCTGACTCAAAAATTCATGGGTTACAAAAATTTTACTCAAGTTTGAACTATAGGTGGTGAATCTGAATCTGGCACCATTCCTCACCATTTGGTTGGCCCTTTATTACTGACTGAACCAGGATAAGAAAAGACGATTTCCATGAAAGGAAAAAAAAAATTTTTTTATATAGTACAATAAACTCTGCTTATTGTAATCACTGTAGGATTAGTGTAAATTTATACCAACAATCAATTAGTAACATTATGCAAAATAAATAAGGTTACAATTACAGAAAATTCTTTTTAATATTAGTCAATAGTCCCCTGAAAAGTTAAAACAATTTAAAAATGTATAACTTGAAGACTTATTAATTATAATTAATAATTCATCCAGGATTGTTTGTTACTAAACTTCAACAACAGCTATCATAAATGCCAGAAATTTTAACTGTTTGTGTGTGTGTGGTGTGTGCAAATAACACAGTTCAAAGCACGGATTAAGACCAATAACAATAACTTGTTGATAACATTGAAAATGATTTTATGTTACGACTGCTAGAAGGAAAGAAAGCCTATTTATCCAAAGACACTGATAACAACTGAACTTGTTACAATATGTGACATCTATTATATTATGGAATAAAATTTAAAAATTAAACTTTTCAAGTATTAAGAATACTTATTTGTATACAGTACTGTACACAGAAATGAATATATACTGTATGTAGTGTATAAAATGTTCAACTTTACTAAAAAATAAAAGCAGAAATCATTCAAAACTTTTAAATTCTTATTTCATTCAAAATCAAAACAAATAAAAATGTTGCTTCAAGGAAAATTTTTCCATCAATACTTTCTTATTAACAAGGTTCTTTAAGATTAATCTGTTTATATTGGAATAAAATACAAATAACAGAACTTTAAAATAAAGACCAAAAAACTAAAAATAGAAATATCATTTCAGAAAAACATGAAATAACCATAGCTCTGATTTTTATATAATTATTATCATATCCTATATATTAGATAAATGTGTTAAGAAACAGAAAAGGATATTATAACAGAAGATAAACATTTATCAGTTGCCTTTACAAATTCATAGTGAATGAGTACGGATCAATTTATTTCTTTAATTACAATTAAACTTTTAAATATTTAAATGCAAAATCTATAAACAAATGTAAAATGTGACAAATGTAAAAAAAATCAATATCTGGCAAGTAAAATTATGTTAAAATTGCAATTTAATATTGCAATATAGTTTTTAAAAATTGTTATTGAAGCAGTTTTACAGTACCAGAACTTTAAACTTTTTTATATTTATTCTAACATTTAATATATTCTTTAAGATATAAACTGAAAGATGCTTTTGAAAACAGTGAAAAGTATTTTTAAAAATGTCAAATGGATTATTAGAAAGAAATTTACTTGTTCTTGAAGATGAATGTATGTAATATTACAGGAAAACTGTATACAGCATATATTCATTTGATGTTCTACACACATTAGAAACTATATTTTTACAGGTATATTTGCTATGTTCTTTTCGAAAAAAAAAAATTAAATAAAAATAATTTGAAAAACCAAGTCATATTGCCATTACTGAGGAAAGTTTTTATACTGATAGTTTAAATGATTCTTTAAATCATCCACTTGATTATATTCAAAGCAAAATATTAAGCACAGGAAACAGTTTAAAAGAAAATGTGACAAAAGATATTAACACAGTTTCCATTAAGTGAGAACTACTCATTTAAAAATAGTTCAACTGATAACTGTCAATATGAACAATTATATGGCAAGATTACAATAACTGCTTAGAGACACTGATTACCTTGAAATGTGACTTAATAATGAACCATTACTGTATGTTAACTCTATGCAAAAAACAAAGTGATTTATCATAATCCCTAATTAGAAAGTTTGTCGAAACTAATAATGCCAGCTAGTTTGACTTAATCTTAACCAATGATATCATTTACTGTTAAGTCTTGTTTTAGTTTTTTGGGTTGCAATTTAAAAAAATTGTAGACCTATAAATTTCCACTGTCATCTGTCTGTCTTTCCTTAATCTCAAGAATGGAGTTGGACAGATAAAAGACAAGACTAGATATGAAAACCTTAGGGGCAGGAAGCCCCGATTAACTACATATGAACTTCTGACGCAAACTGGAAGTCATGTTATTTCAATTGAAAATTTCCCCAGAGAGGTGTTAGTTGACTGGCACAACTCTATTGTTAAAGGAAAAGTATGATGTACAGGGGACAAACTACTAATAATTTAAGGTAGAGAGGATATACAGTATTTTAAATTTATTTAATTAAAAATGTGATTAAAAATTGTAGCTAGCATTGTGACGATGTCACAATAAATAAATAAAAGTTAATAGAAAACAAGTGATTATTATAAATATTTAATATGAAACACAGACTTGCGATATCACCACCAAACAAAGTTATTTCTATTCCAAATTAGCACATAAGAACACAGTAGTTAATTATTCATCTGTGATGAATGAACTATTTAAAAGTGCAGAAACAGAAGTACATTCAAACTTTTCCAATGCATTGTTCAGCTAATTTCTTGTCTACACATAACTTCAGAAAAATCACCAATAAATGGTGCACTAGAATATTTAAAAATATGTAATGATATTTTTATTATATATTAGACATTTAGAAAAAGATCTTACAAGATGGCAATAAGCTTTTGTCGCTTGATAAATTAAAACTAGCTCTTCCAAAAATGTATTTTCATTTTGTATTTTGATAACAATTAATTCTAAACATTCATTTTTTTCAATGAGTAGATTATAGTCTAGCATGGATTATAGAGAACAACATAAATGACTAAAATTATCAATTTTTAGGAGCATTTAAAATTAATTCTGACATGCCATAAAATTCAGAAAATGTTGGATTCCTTAGAACACAACAGAACATTCATTCCACTTTTCAAGGAAAGAATTTTTTTTATTTGCTTTTTTCAACATGTACGAAATTTTAGAACAAAATTAATAGCAGTCGTAAGCTCAACGAAAAAAAATCTTATGAAACAAAGTAAATTATTTCTTTGAACTAATTTATCTAAATTTTGTTGAATTAGGACTATCAAAAAACAAACAATCAATGTTAATACACACTATACAAACATAATCCAAATTTGTATAATAATGTATTCTAGACAAAATTAACTCAAAGCTGACAATAGAAAAAAAGTGTAATTAAATATTAAATAAAATTTGGTAAAATTTAGTATTAGATCAACTTCATAATTTTGATCATGTACAAGTATATTATTTATTTGGAAATTTACAAAATGGCATGCAAAATTATTTTTTGAAAAAGTTTTTTTTTTAATTTAACATTTCATAATATTTGTATTTACAAAAACTCATTATATGATATATCTAAATCATTAATAAAAAGTAGTAATACATTTTTTTAATAAGCAGTCAATGAGGTGATTTGTTCTAACTTTCAACTGATTAGGAATTATATACCAAACCAGTACAAATTTCAATTCAATTAATCAAAATTTAGGAGACAGACTTGATCAAAATTCGGTGGTATTAGATCAAAAACTGCTGGGTGTCTAGCAGAGACCACTTGTCCTGATCCATCAGTAAACAGTTGATCTTTAAACTCTTGAACCAGCTATAATGTCTGCAGAGTATTTTTTCTGGCAGACATTGTCTGATTGCATCAAGCAACCTCCAGCAAAACCAATATATGGTTTTGCTGGAGGTGGAAGTTGCTTGATGACTCTAGATATGACACTTGTGGCACATTGACTTTTCTGAACATCTCAGTTGGTGATGACTGTCCTAATAAAAAAAAAAAAAGGGGGAATAAGACACTTAGGGTCAGTCACCTGTAATTTATTGAACTGTGATATCATATTCTTTGTTCATCTGACATCTGTTGATATTTTCAATTGCAGTGATTTGTTTACATGTGTGACTAATCTAAGTAAACATTTCTCCTGTTCTGTTGGTTTTAACCCTTTGCTTTTGTAGATTTTCACAATTATGCTTAACTTTTCAATTTCAGTGTATATGCTTCAAAATACAATATATTGCATAAGTTAAAAT